CATTACTCACCACTCCCTACTCGCTACTCAATAACTGCTACTCCCTATCCCCTGCTCGATAGTAACTACTGACTACGTACTACTCACTGCTCACTACCGACTACCCACGACACACAAGCCACTACCCACTACTCACTACCCTCTACCCACCACTCACTACCCAATGCTCACTACTCACTACCCAGTACCCGCTACTCATTACGCACCACTCACTAATCACGAGTCACTACTCGCGAATCACTACGCACTAGTCAGTCATCACTACTCACGAATGACTACTCCCTGCGCACTACTCACTACTCATTACTCACTACTACGGACTCTCTACTCGCTACTCGCTAGAGAATACCACTACTCACTACCCACTACCCGCTACTCACCACTCACTTCCCGCTGCGCACTACCCACTACCAACCACCCAATATTCAGTACTCACTGGCCACTACACTCTGACATATACTCACCACGCACTTCTCAATACTCAATACTCACAACATACTACCCACCACGCACTACCCACTGCTGAATACCCACTTGTTACTCATCTCTACTCTTCTCTCGCTACTCGCTACTATATACTCACCATTCACTAGTCACTACTCACTATCCACTACTCAGTACCCACTTATCACTACCAACCACTCTCCCTACCCCATACCCCAAACTCCTTAACCAATACTCACTACTCACTACTCGCTAACCACTACTCACAACTCAGTACCCACGACTCCCGATTCATACTCACGGACGAGGCCCCCTCACCAGCCCCCTGGTCGGCGCAAAGGGGGGAGGGGGGGGGGGATCGAACCCCCCCCCCTTGCCAGCGGCGCCAAGGGGGGGAGGGGGTGGGGGGTCGAAAATCTCCCCCCCCCTTTGAAGGCGGGAGGGGGGGGAAGTTCTGCGAGCCACCCCCCATTGTGTGCCTTTTGGTCACGGCCCCAAGGCCCAGCAAGGGTCTCACGAGGCCAAATATTGGCCCAAACCTCCCGTGGTCATTGTTGCACCACGCGAAGGGGTCTGGGCCTTACAATTCCTCACCGCGGGCGCCGCCAACCTCTCCTCCGTTCGGCGACTCCGAAGGGTGTGGTTTGCAAAGGGTGTAGTTTGCAACCAACACCCTGGGGGTATCCTGGGGTGCGGGCAAGGACCTCGACGGAGCTCTCCGCCGCGCCCCGAGGCGGCGACACGACGAGGACAGTGTCGTGCCCCCCCATGCTCCAACGGCGACGATCGCAAACCACACCCTGGTGCAATCATACCCTTTGTAGTCGCCGATGCGTCGCCAATCGTGGATCCACTGATCCGGGTCAATGCAAACACGGGCCAGTCAGGCCTTGCAGGACCCTGCAGGATCCTGCACCCTAACCAGAGTCAGCGCAGCCCTGGCTCTGCAGGATCCTGACAGATCCGGCGCTCTGACTGACCCCCGTTCGCATTGATCCCCGCCCCGCCCCTTGAGCCCCGAGCGACGATCGCGAACCACACCCTGACGTGCTCTGGGTTTCTCAGTAAACGTGGGGGGTACCCCCCCGACGGGGGTCAACCTCGCCTCGTCGTCGCGCCGCGACGGGGGTCGGAGCGCCTTCGGCGCGCGGTGGCTGTCCGCAACGGGGGTCGATGTAGGGCTGTTGGCGGGGGTGACGCCCCCGCGACGCTTATGAAGAAACTCGGAGTATCCATACCCTTTGTAGTCGCCGATCCGTCGCCAAACAGCGGCGGCAACGGCCGGCCAGTCCGAGGCAAGCGCCCAGGCAGCGCCACGAGCGCGCTCGCCAGGACCCCCGCCCCCGCGCGCCCAACGGGGGCGCGCCCCGGCACCCCTTGGGCGCTCCTGCACCAGGAAAGGTCGGCGGCGGTGCCTTCCTCGCCCTCCTCCGCTCCTCCTCCTCCTCCCTCCTCCTCCTCCTCCTCGCTCCACCTCCTCCTCCTTCCTCCTCCTCCTCCTCATCCTCCTCCTCCTCCTCCTCGCCAGACCGCCTCCCCTGCTCCTCCTCCACCTCCTCCACCACCAACCAGCCTCCCCGTCCTCCTCCTCCTCCTCTCCCTCCTCCTCCTCCACCTTCCTCCTCCTCCCCTCCTCCTCCTCACCTTCCTCTCTCCTCCTACCCTCCTCCTCCACCTCCTCCTCCTCCTCCTCCTCCTCCTCCTCCTCCTCCTCCTCCTCCTCCCCTTCCTCCTCCTCCTCCTCCTCCTTCTTATTATTATTATTATTCTTCTTATTAGTATTCTTCTTCTTATTATTATTATGCTTGTTCTTCTTCTTATTATTAGTATTATTATTCTTCTTATTAGTCTTAGTATTCTTCTTATTATTCTTCTTATTATTCTTCGTATTCTTCTTCTTCATTCTTATTATTATTATTATTATTATTCGTATTCTTATTAGTAGTCTGCTTCTGCTTCGTCTTCTTCTTATTATTATTATGCTTCGTCTTCGTCTTATTCTTCTTATTCTTCTTCGTATTATTCTTATTATTCTTCTTATTCTTCTCATTATTGTCAGTATCCTTCTTCTTATTATTCTTATTCTTCTTCTTATTATTATTATTATTCTTCTTCTTCTTCTTATTCTGCTTCTGCTTCTGCTTCTGCTTCTGCTTCTGCTTCTGCTTCTGCTTCTGCTTCTGCTTCTGCTTCTGCTTCTGCTTCTGCTTCTGCTTCTGCTTCTGCTTCTGCTTCTGCTTCTGCTTCGTCTTCGTCTTCGTCTTCGTCATCGTCTCTTCTTCGTCGTTATTCTTCTCCTTCTCTCCTTCTCCTTCTCCTTCTCCTCCTCCTCCTCCTCCTCCTCCTCCTCCTCCTCCTCCTCCTCCTCCCCTCCTCCTCCGCCTCCGCCCCCGCCTCCTGCCTCACTCCTCCTCCTCCTCCTCCTCCTCCTCCTCCCTCCTCCTCCCTCCTCCTCCTCCTCCTCCTCCTCCTCCTCCTCCTCCTCCTCCTCCTCCATCCCCCTCCCCTCCCCCCCTCCCCCCCACTCCTCCCCGCCTCCTCCGCCTCCGCCTCCTCCTCCTCCTCCTCCTCCTCCTCCTCCTCCTCCTCCCCTCCTCCTCCTCCTCCCCTCCCTCCTCCTCCTCTCTCCTCCTCACTCCTCCTCCTCCTCCTCCTCCCCTCCCCCTCCCCTCCCCCCTCCTCCTCCTCCTCCTCCTCCTCCTCCTCCTCCTCCTCCTCCTCCTCCTCCGCCGCCTCCCTCCTCCATCCTCCTCCTCCTCCTCCTTCCTCCTCCTACTCCTCCTCACTCCTCTCTCCTCCTCCCTCCCCTCCTCCTCCTCCTCCCTCCATCCATCCTCCTCCTCCTCCTCCTCCTCCTCCTCCGCTCCGCCTCCGCCTCCGCTCCGCCTACCGCCACCGCCATCAGCCTCCGCCTCCGCCTCCGCCTCCGCTCCGCCTGCGCCTCCGCCTCCGCCCCTCCGCCTCCGCCTCCCGCCTCCGCCTCCGCCCCGCCTCCGCCTCCGCTCCGCCTCCGCCTCCGCCTCCCGCCTCCGCTCCCCTCCGCCTCCGCCTCCTCCTCCGCCTCCGCCTCCTCCTCCTCCCTCCTCCTCCTCCTCCTCCTCCTCCGCACCTCCTCCTCCTCCTCCTCCTCCTCCGCCTCCTCCTCCACCGCCTCCTCCTCCTCCTCCTCCTCCTCCTCCTCCTCCTCCTCCTCCTCCTCCTCCTCCTCCTCCTCCTCCTCCTCCTCCTCCTCCTCCGCCGCATCCTCCTGTTCCTCCTCCTCCTCCTCCTCCTCCTCCTCCTCCTCCTCCTCCTCCTCCTCCTCCTCCTCCTCCTCCTCCTCCTCCTCCTCCTCCTGAAAAAAACGACAGAAACACAGTATAGCATCTCTTGCTGCCGTCATTCACCTACGGAGGAGGATCGAGAGTGCAATGACGAGGGAGACCGGCAACAATGACTACACGGGTGATCAGGAGGAGAAGCAGCAGCAGCAGCAGCAGCAGCACGAGCAACAGCAGGACGAGGGGAATATCACTCCCTCCTCCCACTCATGAAGGAAAAAAAAGGCGGATGAACGGCCCGAGGAGAAGTGTCATTCTATGCTGGCCTGGCCCAGATTTTGTAAGCGGGGAAGGAAGAGCATGAGGATGAGTGTAATACTCCCCCACTTCGCCGTCCTCGGCGTTAGACGGAGGGCGATGAGATGAAGAGGAGGTGGAGCCCTCCATCCCTCCTCCTCCTCCTTAGGAGGATAAGGCCCTGGGGCGAAGCAAAGAATCCATCATATTTGAATAACAAATGTTCACATGAAGATTACATTGTCGGTACTCAAGTGTTGCAAGCGTCTCAGACGGTCCAACAGACCCTCAAGATCTCGCAACGACGGCCACCGCGGCCCCGAACAAAGACCCGAGCGGCCCCCAAGACAGCCCCACCGCACCCAATCACACGCCTCACATGTTTGTTTCGTTACCGAATGCCCCACCTAGCTACGGCAAGTGACCCCTTCTCGCACGCACACGCAACTGCGCCTCGCACGAACGGACGACACGAATCGCACCGAAATCGCAACCAATACTCCGTCTCGCTCTGATCGGCTCAAACCTCCGATGCCACTCGTAATGATGAGAAGCTTTCTGGCGACGAGCAGTCGGTAAACTGCCAGGACGGCGGCCCTGGACACGGGCCCGACCCGGTAGCAAGATCGGGAGGCGACGCAAGCGAGTTGGGAGGAAGCCGCAGCGGCAGGGAGCGGGGAGGAGGAGAGGCCCCCTCAGCAGCCACCTGCTCACGTGACCTTGGCAATGCCGAGGGAGAAGACGCACAGCGTCCCCAGGGCTTTTGTTGCTCCTATCGTGCTTAAGGACCACATCTCCGAAATAATTTCGAACACCCAGAAAAGTGTCGAAAGAGTGTCGAAACAGTGTCGGACGAGTGTCTCCTAGGGCCCGGCACGTGAAAACCCTCGCGTTTCGGTACTTTTTTGGTGCTCGAAATACTTTCTGGTGATCAAAGCTCAAGTAGGTTGGCACATCATAACCCAATGCTCGACGATGGAACGCGCACATCGCCGCAATTTCCTGTCGCGCTATTTCCCACACGCCGAAGCATCGTCTCCAGGTCAGCGCGCGCGCAAGGAGTCCGGGCGCGGTCCTCGACGCTCGACGAGCCTCTTTTCGGGCGGGCGAGGAGGGCGCAGGAGGAGGAAGAACAGACGGGGAACGGAGGGGGAGAACGAAACGGAGACGGTTAAGGCGAGGGACAGAGACAGAGAGAGAGAGAGAGGAAGATATATGAGTGTGTACATATATATATAGAGAGAGAGAGAGAGAGAAACCAAAAAAAAGGAGAAAGAGAGAGAGAGAGAGGTAAACAGAGAGACAGAGAGAGAGAGAGAGCGAGACAAACGAACAGACCGACAGAGAGGCAGAGAGAGAGAGAGAGACAAAGACAGACAGAGAGACAGGAGAGACGCCATGTCGCAGCGCGTGTCCGCCTACCTACGGCCCCCGAGACTACTGGTGCCCCACACGGCAAAACCCTTCTTTGGCCTGGGCAGGGCGCCATCGCGGGGCTCACCCTCGGCGTGCGCCGGCAGCCGGCACACGACAGACGGACGAGCCGGCACGCGCTCCACGCGGCCTCGCAGCAGGCAGCGCGCCGCACAGGCTCCGGCGGGGCACCTCTGGACCGCGCCAGAGGCAAGGGCGCGCCGCCCCGCTGGCGGACAGGCGCCCGCGCCGGGCATCCCCCGACGAGGGCCGTCGAGCGACCCGAGGCTTGGCCGCCAGGCAGGCGAACGGGGCTGCGACGCGCGCAGCACGCACGGGCGCCCCCCCCCCCCCCCTGCCACCTGGGCCCGAAACCCGACGGTGGCAGGGGTCCACCACCCGGGGGGGGGAGGGGGGGAGGAGAAAGCTGCCGCCTCGAGCGCTCGCTCCCGCGGCTTGGCCAAGCAAAAGAAGGAGGGCGGACACGTAGAGGAGGCGGGAAAGGAGAGCGAGAGAGAGAAAGAGAAGCGGGATAAATGAGAGAGAGAGAGGAAAAAGATAACGAGAGAGAGAGAGAGAGCGCGCCTTGACACTACGCTCAGGCAGGGCATTAGGCTACGACCGAGCAGCGCGTCCCTGCGTGGGATCGCCAAAACCCTGACACTGGCGCGCGGGAGAAGGCTGTCCTCGACGCGGCCACCCGCGACCCTGTTACCAACGCCCTCATCTACGTGGACTGGTCTGTCACCTGCGAACACAGCGACATCACCGCGCGCAGGCAGGCCAGAGCCCGCACGGACGGGGTGGCAGCGGCACAAGCGGTCGAGCGGAAGCGGGGGCGCTACACTCCGGCCGGAGGGGAGTTCATCCCGGCCGTCTTGGAGACAGGGGGCTGGCCAGCGGACGAGCTGGTGGCCTCCGTCCGTTCGTATGGCCGGGGCTGGCCTGATACCGAGCGGTCGGGCGTGGTTTCGTCCACCCGGAGGAAGAATCCAGCGCTGCTTGGGCCTTGGCAGCGCTGAGGAGCTGCTCAGCGCAGCATGAGCGGCCGGGCGGGGACCGCCCCAACGTGACCACCGCGACCACCACGACGGTCGCTAGCACGGCCAGCACCACTGCCACAGCGACCGCATCGATGTCCTCAAGCAGAACTGCAGTAACGACCGCTTCCACGTCGACGACTGCCACGACCGACGCCGCCACGACCGACGCCTGCCACGACCGACGACCGCTGCCACGACCCCTACCACAACTGCGCACTACGACGACCACGACTACGACCACGACCACAGCCACCGCGACCACCGACCACCGCAAAAACCTTCCGTGCGTCCACGCCCGCCACCGCGACAGTGTGACGTCCGCCCCCCGGTGTCCCCCGTAGTCCCTTCCTCCCCCCGCCTGCGCCCGGCCGCCCCTGCACGTCGCTTGCGCTTTCCCCCCCCTCGCCCTCCCAGCCGTCGTCGTCTGTTCGCTCTGTCTCATCCGTGGTGGTTTCGAGCGGGGGCCCCGCCGCGAGCCGACCCTGCCCGGGCCTCGTTGGGCCCCCCTGTGCGCGTGGACTCCTCCCCCCTCCCCCGACAGAGAAAGATACAGAGAGAAAGGAGAGAGAGAGAGAGAGAGGAGGGAAGAGAGGGAGAGAGAGAGAGAGAAAGAGAGAGAGACAGAGAGAAAAAGAAAGAAAGAGAGCGAAAGAAAGAGAAAGAGAGGAGAGAAAGACACAGGAGGGGAGGCGGGACATAATATATATATATATATATATATATATATATATGTATATATCTATATGTATATATATACACATACATATACATAGAGAGAGATAGAAAGAAAGAGAGGGAAAGAGAGAGAGAGAGAGGAGAGAGAAAGACACAGGAGGGGAGGCGGGAAATTAGATATAGATGTATGTATATATATATATACATACATACAGAGAGAGAGAGAGAGAGCCAACAAAAATAAGAAAGTGAGAGAGAGAGAGGGACGAGAGAGGGGTGGGGGAACCCCTCCCCCCCAGAGTGAGAGGCCTGCGGAGGGGGAGGGCTGCCCGCGGGGGCCTCCGTCGCCTCGCGGCCCCCCCCCTGCGGGGGGGGCCCAGGGGGGGAGGAGGAGGCGCCTGGCGGCCGCCCCCCGACCGTGTGCAGCAGGAGCTCGACCACACGAGTTGGGCAGTGACCGACCGTCCTGGCAGTCCTAAGAGGCCTACACCCTGCGAAATGCTTTAGAAATCATGGGTTAAGAAATTCAGAGTCTCAGAATTTGAATAAACATCCAGAATGTCTATTCAAATATTAGGATCTACATTGAAACATTAAGAATAATCGAGACTCTGGCCGAAACCTTGGGTTTTCTTAAGCATCGCCTAAGGTGTACCACGAAATGTTCGTAGAACCCAAACACGTTCTACGAACAAGGACAAGGTTCTTGGAACGTAAGCGCGATGTGCTAAACCAATACAGTACCGAGCAGAAATGCTCGAAGAACACTTCGTGGAGACCACAAGGGGTCATTGTTTGGTAGGCCTATAGGCACGCCAGGACGCTTCGCCACTGATTGAAAGAAACCTTCTACAAGAAACCCAACCCTGGTGAGCGTTTTCTTTTTCGGCGTTTCGACAGTGGGCGGGAGGGGAAGGAGGGGGGGGTCTGGCTCAGCTCTGCTTGATGCGATTGCTTGAAGCAGTGCGTCCTGTGGGGGAGACTCCACATGCTTGGAACAGGCGCCGAAAACGGCCAAGATCTACTCCACGGGGGGGGGGGGGGCGAGGGCCCGCGCCGATCGGCAAAACAATGAATAAGAAAACGATCACCTGAGACCCGAGGACATCCACTGATGCTTGGTGTGGGAGCGTCACGCCTTCCATCGCAAAGCCATCGAAGCCCAGGCAACCCAGGGAAACCCTGGAGGCGAGCAGGGTCTGTTTCTTGGCATGGGTTCTCCACAGCAGGGCTCGAGTTAGGTCGGGCATGTCCCCGTACAGGCGGATTTTGAACGAAAAATAAAACATAGGCCAAAAATGCTGAAAAATTATCAAAATAGTCGAATAATCGTCCCCATACGGGTTTTTGACTAGTTTTGGATACTCCTCCTGTAGAGGGACAGGCCCGACTTAAGGCTCGAGGGGAGGGCCCGCACTGGCCCCAAGGCCTCGAGCAGGAGATCGACGACAGCATCGATCTACCCCAGAATTGAACTGGCCGTCGACCCAGCGGAAACTGCGCGGGATGTTTGTAGATCTGCTGGCACTTCGAACATTACGCATTTCCCCGTGGATTCGGCGAGGAGATCAAACCTGGCTGCAAGCCTCTCTCGTCCAGCCCCGAGCGGCGGGCTCCCCCGAGCGCGCGCGGGCGGCCCCCGGCGGCCCCCGGCGGGCCGCGCGCGGCGCCGCGATGCGGTCACTCCGGGGCGTCCCCGGCGCCGTATCTGTGCCTCTCTCGCGCTTGGGCAGCGCTTCACGGGAGGGAGGGGCGATGACTGGGAGGGGGGGGGGGGAGAAAGGCGCAGTTCTGTGGCCCCAGAGGCCCCTTCTTGTCCCCAAAGGGCCCCTCGAGGGGCCCTGGAGGGCGCGAGAAGGGCACCCGTGAGGGGCCCTAAATCGCCGTATCCGTGCCTCTCTCGCGCTTGGGCAATGCTTGCAATCGCGGGCGGCCAAGAGGGGGGCGTCCACGAGGGGGGGGGCGCAAATCATGGCCGGCGGCATGTGCGCGGCCTAAGGGGGGGGGCCACGGACGCAATGAAATAAGAGGAGGCGCCATGAAATCTGGGGAATATCATGGCCCACGCCATGATATCCCCCCCCCCTAGTCGTCACTCCCCTCTTGGCCGCCCCCGATATAATGGGGGGGGTGCTTCACGTGGGGGGCGATGACTAGGAGGGCTTCGACCGGACCAGAGACTTGGGGCCCCACCGGGATCTACGATGGGGGGGCGTGCGTCCTCGACAGGGGCGCGTCCGGCAGCCCCCCTTAGGGTGCACCCCAAGGCTCTCCTTTTTCTCTCGGCGGGACCTGGGGATTTTGAGCAGGGGCCGACCGTCCCAGTAATCCTATAGGCCTACCACGAACATGTTCTTAGAACCCAACAATGGTTTAAGAACAAAACTATGTTCTTAGAACATACACCCGATGTGATTAAGACAAGACGGTCCCATCCAGAAATGTTCTAAGAACATTTCGTGGAAACCACAAACGGTTCTTAGAACATGATTTGGTAGGCCTATAGGCGAGCCAGGACGCTTCGCCACTGCTTGACCTGGGAATTGGGCGAGACAACATCGCCCGCGACCTGCGGCTTCAGCCGCCAAGAGGGGGGGGGGGGGCAGAACGGTGCACTCCTGGGGCCCCAGGGGGCCCCCTCTGGGCCCCAAAGGGCCCATCGGCCCCCCTTTCTGCAGCCCTCGCTGGCTGCCCCCCCCCATGTATGTATCGCCCCCCCCCTGTCGGCGGCGACGATAAGTGCGAATAGCCCAGGGGCGGGCAGTACACGTATTCGCCGGGAGCCTTGTCGAAGACATACATCATCGGCGCCCCTGGATACGTGCATTGCTCCCCCCTGGGCTATTCGCCCCTCTCGTCGCCTCCGACCCTGTGACGCGACGCCCAACGCGCGGGGTGGGGCGGCCGGCCAGCCGGCCGGCACGAGGGAGGTGGCCTCTCGAGCGCGGCCCCGAGGCAGCGGCCTCCCCGGTGGGGCCCGAGCGGATGGCGTCGGAGGCCCGCGCCGCTGCATCGCCCGGTGCGTCGGCGCCGTCGGCGCGGGGCAAACCGGGCTCCACGTCGCGCCGCATCGCCGAGGCGGCGCGATCCTCCGACCCCGTCTGGCCGGGCCCCGCTCGGGACACGCACTCTCGAGGGCACGGGGGGCGCGCCGCGTCATCGAAGGCCACGCACTCTCGAGGGCACGGGGTGGCGAAAGGGGGCGAGGGGCCGAGCGTGTGGGCCCAACGGTGCTGCACTCAGGCATGCAGGCGAGGCAGCGCCACGCTCCGAGCTCTGCAGCGCAGTCGCGAACCCGATCGGCAGGCCCCGTCGGGCCTCTGAGGCCCCCCCCCTCCATGGCCTCGGTGGGCCTGCACGGCCTGCTTCCTGCGCTAGGCGAGCGCGCTCCACCACTCGCACAGTGACTACTCGCAGATGGCCTGGATCCGCCGCGGGGGATCCTGCGACAAAGCCGATCGTAGCAGACGTCTGTCTTTCGGACGCTTGCGAGTAGGCACTTTGCGAGTAGTGGAACGCGCTCGGTGATGCGCGGCCGCCCCGCCGCAGGCGCGCGTCCGACCCCCGGCGGCCAAGGCGGCCAGGCGACGACGAGGGGAGGGACCAGGCAAGCAGGCCGCGGCGAAGGCGCGAGCGGGAGGCCGGGGCGGGCGGGAACGAAGCAGGGGGTCCCAGGTCGGGTCTGCCGCGAGCGAGGGGGGAAGAGAGAAGGAGAAGGCCACTCTCGGAAGGCGGCGGGGCTTCTCAGAAGCCCTCCAGCCTTGCAGGAAGTTTTCTGTGTCCAGGGCAGGCTTCGAAAACTTCAGAAGATCAGAGGACTTCCGAAGCCCGCTCCTTCTCTGAGCATCGTTGATCCGATCCCCATCCCCAGCGGCGTGGCCTGGGCCCGACTGGCCGACTTACCCCCCCAGATGGGGATATAGGCCGTCCCCCTTCGGGATTCGAGGGGTGCATCCCCAACTGGGGTGGTAATTTTGGGCGGTCTCGAAGGGGATGAGGACGGGGATGGGGGTCGGATAAACGATACTGATTCTCACTTGCCCCTGGGTGCGCCGCCGATTGGAGCAATACGCGGGCGCCAGGACCGTCCAACACGGCTCTGGCTGAAAAACTGGTCGCGGGGAAAAAGTGGCGGAGTCTACAGCCGGGACGGGCTGCAGAACGCGCCCGAGACGGCACGAAACTCCTCCGAGGGCAGCCCTGGCACGGAGAGGACCCCAAGACGCGACAAACGGCACATAAGGGGTGACAGACCCGACTGCAGGACCGTTTCGTCCAGAGCCCCTCTCCCAGGCACGAGGCCAAGCGGGCCAGGGCGCTGGGCGCGCGGGTGGGCCAGAGGTGCCTGCCGCACCTCCCCCCTTCCCGAAGCCTGTGCCCCTCCGCGTACTGTTTTTTCACGTCGGTTCCCCCCAAAGATGGTCTACCATGTATGTGCTTCTCTAATCCGAATGGTACTTCCGCTCCTAGGTTGCCCTCCCCCCCTCTTTCCTTCCCCACTCCCTGCCCTTCCCACCCCCTGTTTCCCACCCATCCCCCAGCCCCTTCCTCCCTCGCCCCCGTCAAGCCCCCTCCTGGTCAGGCGCTCAGAGGCCCCACAAGCGTAACATGCAGCGCAACGTAAATGCATACGCAATGCAAGTATGCAGTGGAAAGAAGCTGCAACGCAACACAAAACTGCGCAGTGCAACGAAACTGCAATGCAAAAAACATTGCAATGCCAAACAACCCACGCTTCGAGTAACGGCCATTACCTCTTGCGACGAAAATTGTACTGCATAAGCAATGTTCAGCTGATTACCATCGTTGGCGCTTTGACACCACTCCCTCCCACAACCTCCCAGCATCGTCAACGTCAGCGTCGTCATGGTCGTCTTTAGCGTCGTCAGCTCAAGTCGGCTCAAACAATAGCAAGAATTTTAGCAAGATCGCCCGCACTTGCACGTCACACCATTGCCTTCGCGTGTTGTTGAAGAGTGGCTCGCGAATTGGTTGGAACGCCTTTCGCAGCGTTGGCGATTGTTGTATCAATTTATTAGTAGCAGTGTGAACGCCTTGGTCAAAAAGATATTGAGGTGGACTGCAATTTGGTGGATGATTTTGTTGTTGAATGTTTGAGCTTGGTTTGCTACTGCAACACAAACACGTTCCCAAAGTGGATCGTGCATAATGGGAATTTGCAAACCAAGAGATCGGCACCAAACTCAATGATACCATGATGCACCTAGACCAGCTCAGTGCGAGAATTGATAGATTGGAGAATAACGGTTGCATGAAAAAGAAGGACTTGCTGTAATGATCGAAACCCACGTCTGGAGCAGAAGTGTTGGATGTAACTTCAAAGCGATTCGAAAAGCTTTAACAGATCTCCTTATTAGTGGATTGGTTGAAACTGGAGAATATGTGCGACCGCATACTTCGAGACGTAATTGTTCTCGGAAGAGATGATCTGACACATTGTGGAGAACGTACACATGATTATGCGGATGCCTGTGGAGTCGATTGCCAAGCGCCAGACGAATATGATAGCAGTAACGTCGTTGGACATTTACGTGAAATGGTTACCAACACATCACTATCCGGCAACACCTGCGAAGAACAGTGGGATGGATACTCAATGCTTCAACGTAGGTTATTTGTGTGTGATTATTCTGAAACGCTTCTCTCCGAGAGCCGCGCGGCATGGAGCGCATTGAAGCATCTCGGGTATCGCGGGTCTCTTTTTATTCGAAGTTGCAAGAAGTATTTGCAAACGGGAATGTTGGTACAACCAGTACCCCAAAACACATTCGTCTGCAAAACCGGGGCGGGCAGATTCGTTCCACATCTTCGCTTGTGTTAGAAATATGCGAAATCTATCATGATGGCATCGTCTTGCAAGATGCCGAAACCTGCGTCCACGGCCGGCTTGCGAAACAGACTGGTAATGTACATTTGGTCACAATTGGGTATACATTCTAAAAACCTGGCATCGCATTGGCAGTAAATGTAAATATGCAATATCAGTCATTCCTTTGGCTTGGGTTGTCAAGTTCTTGGGAAACACAAGCGGGACATCCGTCGTTCGCGCGCCCGCTACCCTCATAAGAAGCACATGCCGTTCCGATGCGCTTTTTCGACTCGTAGTCTCATGCCGTCTGGATTGCACCAATCTTCGCTTGAAAGGCGCATTCTGTCGTAACGGGCCTCGTTTGGAGCGTCGGCGCAGGGTCGATTGCTTCGTCCCTCTCATTCTCTTCCTGGGCTTCTGAATGTTAGTCTGGCAAACGTGGCTTGAGTAGGTCGCCTTATTTTTCCAGAATGTGCTCTGCAAGGCCTTATGCAGTTTGGCTTGCCGACGCGCCGACTCTAGGCGCATGGCTTGCGTCTGTCTGTCAGCGTCGTCAACGTCGTCGTCGGCATCGTCGTTCGGCGACATCGTCGTTGGCGACATCGTCGCGATCGTCGTGCCCGGCAGGTGCGTTGCAACAGCGGCGTCGTCGTCGTCGTCGTGGTCGCCGTCGTCACCTTCGTCGCGATCGACGTCGTATGCCGAACGCAAACGGGGGGGGGGCCCAGAAAGTGCCGAAGGCTTAAACGGGAAGGTAATGGCTGCGTACCCCACAAGCGCGCATGGTTCTCGGCGAGCGTTCGCTCGGCGACGCGCTGACATCAGCGTTGGCAAGACGGGGGCGAACAAAAACGCCAGTGCAGCCCGGCGAAGGGGGAGGCAAGCGTAGCCCATGCACACACACACACACGCGCACACACACGCTTGCCAGGTCAAGAGACCATCCGTCACCCTGAAACTTTGTGTTCAGCAAAGTGTTGGGACTGTTGTAAGATTGCTGCTGACAGTGCACTTGGTGCTGACCACGTGGACGAAACCGACGGTGGCCGAACTGCGCAAAAGGAGTACTTTAAAAAACGCTCGTGCTGTACAGAGGAGGTACGTTTTCACATTGGCATGCGGGGTTTTCATTGGCCAGCGCCCCATATGTCAATCTTTGGCCCCTTTACGCGATTGCACAACTACGAATTGCGTTTCCGCCGAACTGTGCGCGAACGCCCCCCAGGACCCGGGGGTGGACTCTACCAAGAGGCCCGCAAACTTTTTTTTTCGACCTCCGACCTCTGAATTTGTTGGCGATCGAACGGGATGCGCCGCCATCGCCCCGACCCAGCCGCAAGATACAGGGCAACTTGCGCGAGGCGTGCGCTCCAAGCTCAAAACGCAGCGGAGGGGGGAGGGGCGGAGAGGCAGCAGCCGACAACTACGCGCTCGCCGCCATGCCTGTGCATTTTGAAATTGTTACGATATTGCATGTGGAATTTGTTTTCGAAAAAAATAGTAGTCGCCGACGCCGCCCACGTCCGCAGAGACCCCTGCGGGCCTGGAAGAAAGCTTCGAAGTTCCAAAAGGGCAAGAAAAACGGAAGGAGAAGAAAGAAAGGGTGCAAGGCGAACAGAAACAACTGGGACGATTCAGGGCAAATTGGGATGCGACGCGCGCAACGACTGTCACTGCTCTTGGGCAGACGCTACAGCTTGTGAGGAAAAAACCGACGGATAACAAATCTAAAACGGTCAAGCCACAACCCCCGAAGCTGTCCCACTGGAGACCCAACTGCGCTTGGCAAGGGGATGACGATTGAACCCGCTGAAAATGCTGACTGCGCGGCCGCGGGGACATTCATGGTACATGTGCGAGCGATAAGCTCAACCTGGACTGGGCCATGGCATTTTCCATCGAAGAGGCGGGGCGCAGAAATGTCACGCGGCGGGACGCAAGCGGCGACGACGACGACGAGAGTGCGCACCGAGCGAGAGGAAAAGAAGGAGGGGAAGGGGAAGGGGGACGACGAGCACGACCGAAACCAAAACGACCCGATTATGAAGCAGAAAAACAAGTGGGGCGCACCAACCGCGCCCGAGGCTCCACGTTGTGCGACGCGCGCGGCGACGCCAGAAGCGGCGCGGAAGAAACGACGGCGACAAAACGACGACAACGACGCGGACAAAACAGCAAGCCGCAGCCAGGAGAGAGGACCGGGAGGAGGAAGGCGAGGACAAATATCACTCCCCCGGGACACTTGCAACGCGAAAGTGCGCAGGCAGGGCCGCTTACGCGGAGGAAGGCTGAGCCAAGGAAGACGCGCGGGCGGAGCCAGCAAGCCTGGACGGATCGCCTCGGAATTCTGCGCTGCACAACTTTGCAAACGAAGATCGTCGTAAGACTGTTGTACGGTAGTTGTAAGATTGGGGCATTGGTTGGGGCCAGGGAAACATGGGGGGAGGAAGGGAGAAGAGAGGAGGGGCGAGGCGGAGCGAGAGGGAAGAAGGGAGGAGGGGCAGAACCAAAAGGAGCACCGGCGCGGAGCAAAATCAGCAGGCTGCCGTACGAAAGGATTGTAAAGCTTCTTCGCAGTGGCCGCAAAGCGGTTCATGGACATTCGCGGTAGTAGCGAAAAAATGCCCTGAGTCACGGCGAAGCGCGTCCGACACACCTGCCAGGTCAAAAGACCATTTGTCACCCTGAGATCTTTGCTCAGCAAATTGTTAAGAATGTTGGAAAATTCGATGCCGTAACTGACGAATGTGTATTTGGTGCTGACGGCGTGGAAGAAGCCGGCGGTGGCCGACGGTGGCCGAGCTGTGCACACACACGCACACACACACACAAACACTTTTCCTCTAGCGGCGAAGCCACGTGTACTAAGGCAGGGCACGCTTAGTTCGATCAACCCACACACACACACCTGAGGGGCAGCGTTGGGAGAGGACTGGCTCAAGGGAAAAATATCGACCGGGAGTCGGCGATACATCCGCGATAAATCGGCGATAAGCCCACGATAGCAAATCCGCATGTTCCTGGGCGGGGTGGTGGGGCTACCGGGCCCCGTCCCCAACTGAGCCTACTCTCGACCCCCCCCCCCTGAACACCCCGGCCAAGCGCCAACGCGTTTTTTTGCTCCCCTTCCAGCGCGTCTTCTGGATGACAGCCGGCGATATATGGATACATCCTCAGAGGCCCCAGGCTGTGCCTCTTGAGGCACAGGGAGGGCAAAGACCACATCGAGAAACCCCCGACCCTCGAGCCTCGATGCTCACGCGAGAGTGGTACGCGGCTCAAATGGCCCCGCGGGGTGCCCAGTCTAAGTGCGCAGCGCAGATGCTAAGGGGCCGAGCGCCGATCCGAGAAATCCGCGTGGACCTGCGACAAATTCTGTGAATGCCGCATTCGCTTCTTCAATTACTGTCAGAGAACAGGGCGTGTCCTCCTCTGCGAGCGCGCTAGACAACGTGCTGCCTCACGCTTCACAAGGCGTGTGGCGTTGTGTCTGTCATCAGCGTTACCGCCGAATCTGCAACATCCATCGCAATAACCTCATGCGTTGCCCCAACAGTACCTGGTGAGGCGCTGCGTCTGTTCTCCTCCTCCTCCTCCTCCTCCTCCTCCTCCTCCTCCTCCTCCTCCTCCTCCTCCTCCTCCCTCCACAATTACTCAATATGAATACTACTCTCCCTCTTCCCCCGATGGCGGCCTGAAAGTAGCCGACCCCCCCCGCGTACTGTTTCTTTACACACAGGATTCCCGGGAGTTGGGTTTTCGCCTGCGTTTTTTCAAAATGCTGCTCTCGCTGAGGCGCCGGCCTCATTTCTGCTCCCGAATCGTTCGGAATCGTGCTCCCGCTGCAGCGAGGGCCTCATGTTCGGATCGGTGTTTGGCCTCCGTCGTTCAGGATGGCGTTCTCGCCCCAGCGCGGGCCTCTTTCTCGCGCGCCCATCCGCCCGCCACCACCGCGCCGCACCACCACCACCACCACCACACCACCACCACCACCACCACCACCACCACCACCACCACCACCACAACCACGCACACACGCACGCACGCACGCACGCGTACCACCACCCACTACGCACGCGCGCGCGGAGCCACAGGTCCGCTACGACACGCGTCCGCGGATAGAGAAAATCAGCGCCATGGTAAGGGATGGGAGGGAGGGGTAGGACGTCAGATATGACGCGAGCGCACCTAGCTTGTCCCCCTCCCCTCCCCCTCCCCCTCCCCCTCCCCCTCCCCTTTCCTCCCTCCTCCTCCTCCTCCTCCTCCTCCTCCTCCTCCTCCTCCTCCTCCTCCTCCTCCTCCTCCTCCTCCTCCTCCTCCTCCTCCTCCTCCTCCACCGCGCGGGGGCCCCGCCTCGGCCTGGGGGCAGACACGTGCCCCGTGCCAGCGGTAGCCTCGACGGGCGGGTGGGGGTGTCGGACGGCCGCTGCGGCTCCGCGGCAGGGAGGTCAGCAGGGCTCGCCTCCTCCCCCACAAGGAGGGGGGGGGGGGGGCCGAAGGGGGAGGAGGAGGGGGACGAGGAGAGGGGAGGAGGAGGAGGAGGAGGAGGAGGAGGAGGAGGAGGAGGAGGAGGAGGAGGAGGAGGAGCAGGAGCAGGAGGAGGAGGAGGAGGAGGAGGGGGAGGGGGAGGGGGAGGGGGAGGAGGGAGAAGGAGGGGTCAGGAACGTCCGAAGCCTCGGCCGAGTATCGAGAAGGAGGATGGAGGACGAGGACCTCCCCCACCACCGAAGGCCTCCAAAAACCAACATACGCTTTCAGCAGCGTCGGAATGCCAGGTCTCCAGAAACCAGAATACGCCCAGCAGTGTCCCAAAACTTCGATCGAGGATCGCGAAGGGGGGGGCGGATTGAAGGTGATGAGGCAGGAGGGATCAGAAAAAGCCCAAGACGCATCAATGATGCTGCGATGATGCAATACGTCCTCCCGTCCCAAGTCGGGCGGGGCGCCCGGGGGGGAAATGAGAAGGGGCGGGTCTTCTCAAAAGGCTCGGAAATTTCCCGGCCTTCTGATACGCTTTCTAAGCCTTCCCAGAAGTCACAAAACACCTCTCAGAAGGCGCGAGGGCTTCTGAGAAGTACAGCCGCATTTTGAAAAGGCCTTCTCCATCTCATTTTCCCCCCTCGCTCGCCGCCGACAAGTCCAGGAGAGCCCAAAATCGAATCGATAAGTCGGATCGGCGATCGAAATGAGTCGGATCGGCGGAAATCGGCAGCCGAGTCAGGAAAAGTCGAATCGGCGGACATCTGCAGGCTAGTATGCCTCCAATGAGAAATCGGAGCCCGAATTGGAATCCCAAGGCGAATCGAATCGGAATTGGGGGCCATTGAAGTCGAATCGAATCGGATCGTCGGAACCGGAGCGAGCCCTGCAAGTCCGCTCCTCTCGAGCACCTGCAAATACGATTCATTAGGTTCTAGCAAGCCCCAGGTCGTGACAAGTTTACAGGTCCTCTGAAATAGTTGCCCACCAATGGTATGAACATGAGGCACACCGAAGCGTTGAAAAACGCGGGCCGAACAGAGAGCGATCACGTACATGCTTTTACGCCTACATGTTTTTACGCAAAGGCGACGGACACACTATGATATCTGAGCACTGCAAGCCATCACAGCATGGCCGAAGCACCATGGGAGGTAGGAAGGGGAAGGGAGGGTTAGGGAGGGAGGGAGGGAGAGGGGAGTGGAGCAGGCTCGCCACGGAACCCAGCGCCTCCGGGCCTCCAGCCAGGGGCCTGCTACAGAAAAGGCGCAGCTCGAGCGCTCTCTCCGCGAGGGTGCGCGTGCGGGCTGCGCCCGAATATGGACAGATGCGGTCAAACTTGCGAGAGGCGCAGCGAATACGGTAAAGTTGTGCTGTGACCACACTCGGAATAGAAGCCCACGGTCCCTCACATACTTGCTGGGCAGCACTTGCTGGCCAGCCCTGGAATGGAAGCAGGAAGGCGCACGATCATGAGAAGGAAGAGGCGACGATGAGTTGAGAGGAGGAGAAGGAAAAGTAGGAGAAGGAGGATCCTCCAGGAACTGGTTTCGATCTTACTTGTTTCATTCAGCCTCATGCGGAGGGAGGACAAAGGAGGCGGGAATATATTATGCCACTGGACCCAGGCCCAAGCACTGCTGCAGATCCTAAGCTAGGGCGACTACCAGCCCAGCGCAAGTCGGCGCATGCACGCATCACCACCACTTTTTCATCGAACCCCATGCGGAGTCCAGCATGCCACTGACACTATCTTGCATGTCGTCCGCTAGCTGCTGCGCATGTGCCCTGACGTCGTCGAGATCTGGAAGCTGCTCTGCCTTCTCCTGCCAAACCGCAGCGGCTTTCTCCTTGGTGTCGTCGATGGACGGCACCGCTTCCATCGCCCTCTTGAGCTCCTCCTGCAGGTCGTCGAGCTTGTCTGAGCCCGAAGCCTGCGCCTCAGCCACCGCCTCCTGGAGAGCCTCCACCTTGGCCGAGTCCTTGATATCGTCCCACGCGTCAGTGCCGCTGTACGCAGACGTGATCTCCTCCCAGTCTGGGATGTCCTCCTTCAGCTTGGTCTGCTTCTCCTCGAGGGCGGCCTTGGCGTCGCCCGAAGCCGCGTCGATCTGCTCCTGGAGCTGCTCGATCATCGACGACCCCGAGACCGCCGCCCAGATGTCATCGGCGTCTCCGGTCGCCTCGAGCCCCACATGCCCCCCGAACTTGGGGCGGGAGCGCGCCCTGAGTCCGGCGAGCGCAAAGGACGCGAGAAGGCAGCACGAGAGGCAGACGGCGGAGTAGATCGGAAGCATGCGCTTGCGCTGGCCGCCCGCCGATGGCATCGGCAGCTCGGGATCTCCCGCGTCGGCTGCCGCAAGCATGCGGACCTGCTCCTCGGCCATGGCTGTAGCTGCAAAGCGACCGAATAACGAGGTCTGAGCAAGGGCGTGCTTGAGCCAAAATGGGTACGGAGAGAGCGATCACATACAATGACACACTCAAACAAGGCAACGCGAAGCAATGCCAAGCAGTGACGATAATTTTCCGAATGGAGTGCACACACTGGCACTGCAATGCAACGCAGTGTCATGGAAACCAGATGCGAGCGCCATGTAGCGAGAGGCAACGCATGGCAGGGCAATGCGATGCAATACAACTAAATTCAAAACAGAACAATGCGTCGTCGGCAACCAAGTGAAAGACACTGCAAAGCAATGCAATGCACAACAACGCAAAAGGCCGTGCGGACGAGGACCTCCCCCACCACCGAAAGCCTCCAAAAACCAACATACGCTTTCAGCAGCGTCGGAATGCCAGGTCTCCAGAAACCAGAATACGCCCAGCAGTGTCCCAAAGCTTCGATCGAGGATCGCGAAGGGGGGGGCGGATTGAAGATGATGAGGCAGGAGGGATCAGAAAAAGCCCAAGATGCATCAACGATGCTGCGATGATGCAATACGTCCTCCCGTCCCAAGTCGGGCGGGGCGCCCGGGGGGAAGTGAGAAGGGGCGGGTCTTCTCAAAAGGCTCGGAAGTTTCCCGGCCTTCTGATACGCTTTCTAAGCCTTCCCAGAAGTCACAAAACACCTCTCAGAAGGCGCGAGGGCTTCTGAGAAGTACAGCCGCATTTTGAAAAGGCCTTCTCCATCTCATTTTCCCCCCTCGCTCGCCGCCGACAAGTCCAGGAGAGCCCAAAATCGAATCGATAAGTCGGATCGGCGATCGAAATGAATCGGATCGGCGGAAATCGGCAGCCGAGTCAGGAAAAGTCGAATCGGCGGAATGAGAAATCGGAGCCCGAATTGGAATCCCAAGGCGAATCGAATCGGAATTGGGGGCCATTGAAGTCGAATCGAATCGGATCGTCGGAACCGGAGCGAGCCCTGCAAGTCCGCTCCTCTCGAGCACCTGCAAATACGATTCATTAGGTTCTAGCAAGCCCCAGGTCGTGACAAGTTTACAGGTCCTCTGAAATAGTTACCCACCAATGGTATGAACATGAGGCACACCGAAGCGTTGAAAAACGCGGGCCGAACAGAGAGCGATCACGTACATGCTTTTACGCCTACATGTTTTTACGCAAAGGCGACGGACACACTATGATATCTGACCACTGCAAGCCATCACAGCATGGCCGAAGCACCATGGGAGGTAGGAAGGGGAAGGGAGGGATAGGGAGGGAGGGAGGGAGAGGGGAGTGGAGCAGGCTCGCCACGGAACCCAGCGCCTCCGGGCCTCCAGCCAGGGGCCTGCTACAGAAAAGGCGCAGCTCGAGCGCTCTCTCCGCGAAGGTGCGCGTGCGAGCTGCGCCCGAATATGGACAAATGCGGTCAAACTTGCGAGAGGCGCAGCGAATACGGTAAAGTTGTGCTGTGACCACACTCGGAATAGAAGCCCACGGTCCCTCACATACTTGCTGGGCAGCACTTGCTGGCCAGCCCTGGAATGGAAGCAGGAAGGCGCACGATCATGAGAAGGAAGAGGCGACGATGAGTTGAGAGGAGGAGAAGGACAAGTAGGAGAAGGAGGATCCTCCAGGAACTGGTTTGGATCTTACTTGTTTCATTCAGCCTCATGCGGAGGGAGGACAAAGGAGGCGGGAATATATTATGCCACTGGACCCAGGCCCAAGCACTGCTGCAGATCCTAAGCTAGGGCGACTACCAGCCCAGCGCAAGTCGGCGCATGCACGCATCACCACCACTTTTTCATCGAACCCCATGCGGAGTCCAGCATGCCACTGACACTATCTTGCATGTCGTCCGCTAGCTGCTGCGCATGTGCCCTGACGTCGTCGAGATCTGGAAGCTGCTCTGCCTTCTCCTGCCAAACCGCAGCGGCTTTCTCCTTGGTGTCGTTGATGGACGGCACCGCTTCCATCGCCCTCTTGAGCTCCTCCTGCAGGTCGTCGAGCTTGTCTGAGCCCGAAGCCTGCGCCTCAGCCACCGCCTCCTGGAGAGCCTCCACCTTGGCCGAGTCCTTGATATCGTCCCACGCGTCAGTGCCGCTGTACGCAGACGTGATCTCCTCCCAGTCTGGGATGTCCTCCTTCAGCTTGGTCTGCTTCTCCTCGAGGGCGGCCTTGGCGTCGCCCGAAGCCGCGTCGATCTGCTCCTGGAGCTGCTCGATCATCGACGACCCCGAGACCGCCGCCCAGATGTCATCGGCGTCTCCGGTCGCCTCGAGCCCCACATGCCCCCCGAACTTGGGGCGGGAGCGCGCCCTGAGTCCGGCGAGCGCAAAGGACGCGAGAAGGCAGCACGAGAGGCAGACGGCGGAGTAGATCGGAAGCATGCGCTTGCGCTGGCCGCCCGCCGATGGCATCGGCAGCTCGGGATCTCCCGCGTCGGCTGCCGCAAGCATGCGGACCTGCTCCTCGGCCATGGCTGTAGCTGCAAAGCGACCGAATAACGAGGTCTGAGCAAGGGCGTGCTTGAGCCAAAATGGGTACGGAGAGAGCGATCACATACAATGACACACTCAAACAAGGCAATGCGAAGCAATGCCAAGCAGTGACGATAATTTTCCGAATGGAGTGCACACACTGGCACTGCAATGCAACGCAGTGTCATGGAAACCAGATGCGAGCGCCATGTAGCGAGAGGCAACGCATGGCAGGGCAATGCGATGCAATACAACTAAATTCAAAACTGAACAATGCGTCGTCGGCAACCAAGTGAAAGACACTGCAAAACAATGCAATGCACAACAACGCAAAAGGCCGTGCGAACCCGAGGGTTCCGGAACCGCGGGGCTCCCAGGGAAAAGGTGTGCAACATAAGTAGTGGATGCCCCGGTTCCGCCGGAGGTGCAAATCCATAAGACGCTAGCGCACCAGCTCGTCCTCCTCCTCCTCCTCCTCCTCCTCCTCCTCCTCCTCCTCCTCCTCCTCCTCCTCCTACTCCCTCTCGCAATCCTCTGGCGGGTCGGCTGGCCGAGGCTGGCGACCGTTTAGATTGCCACACAGACTTCTTACAAAAAGAACGAAAAATAACGAATTTCCCGCCCCCCGGGCTGCCGGGCAATAACTGTCACAGGTAGCCCCCGGTCCATCGGCCACGCGGCCAGGACAAGCTATGTCTTGTCTAAGTTGGCCACGCGAAGGAAGGCGAGAAGCAGCGTAGTGGGACTGCGAAAGAGACCGAAAGTTGCAAATTCCATTTGTTTCGCAAGCACCCAGGAAGGCTCCAGGAAGGCGTGCAGGGCAGCCACCAGGAGGACCCAGAGTAGCCTAATGGGGGGATGCCCGAGAAGCACTAAAAAGAGCTTGGCAAAACCATGCTGAGAGTCTCTTTGGATGCCTTTGGTGGCGCTCTTGGAAGGCTACTTGAAAAGTTGTTTGGTCTCTTGGAAAGCATCTCGGAAGACTCTTGCCATATTTGGAGCCTCGATGGGGGCCTCTTGATGCTTGTGGTGAGGGGGGGGGGCCCTCGGGCGCATGGGGCCTCTTGGAAGCCTGTTGGGCCCCTGCTAGCGGTCTCGGGGGCCGTTTTCGGGGGGCGGGCTCGCTCTTTGAGGTCGGTTTCCGCCTCTTGTCGCCCTCTTGGAACGCTCTTGGACTATATTAGGGGCGTTCTGGGCCGTTTTGGGGCCCTGCTGGGGACCTTTTTGGGCCGCCGCGAGTGGTTTTGGGGGACTACTGGGCTGTCTCAGAGAATATGATCGCGAAAGGGCAAAAACACGAAAATCGTTGAAAAACACAGCACAGCGCCTGCGTGCAGAGGACAGTTAGAAGGAGCATGTACGTCAGGATCTGCTGTGGACAACTAAGCGCCACGCCAGGAAAATTCTGATAATCGAATGCGATGTTTTCCCTCCTCCCTCCTCCTCCTCCTCCTCCTCCACCTCCACCTCCACCTCCTCCTCCTTTTCCTCCTTTTCCTCCTTTTCCTCCTTGTTACTCCCTGTCGTGCGGTTTGGCGTTAAAACGCACGTGCGCATCTCAGCGTGCACTGCAGAATGGTCGATTGAATCGGTCCACTTGGTTCTCGGACGGCCAGTTTAGCTGGAGCCTCCTGGACGCAAATGGGAGTTAGGGTGATGCGGGAGGACTCGGGGGGACTCGTAGATTCCAGCGGCGCTCTTTTGTCCGCGAGGATGTGTTTTCCATTGTTTTCTTTGGAAGCCACACGCGTTCCATTTTGTCACAAGGATTCCTTCTGAGATTCTATACACAACAATGGTGCTGTGATGCACACGGCTGATGTGGTGCACACAAGCGCCGTGGCGTACACAGGCACTGCAATGCACGCAGGCACTGTGGTGTACAATGGTGCTGTGTTGCGCACGGCGGATGTGGTGTACGGAGGCGCTGTGGTTTACACAGGAGCTGCTGTGCCCGCAGGCACGGTGGCACAAACTGACGCTGTGTTGCACGTGGCTGCTGTGGTGTACATCGGCGGCATGGTGTACACAGGCGCTGTGGTGCACGCGGGCACTGTGATGTACACAGGCGTTGTGGTGCATATCGCCACCTACATGTTCGTGCTACCCGTCCTCCGTCATTCCTAAGCATTCCCAGACGCCGCCGGCGCGAAACGTGACGTCATCGACCCCCTCCCCCCCCAGATGATTGCCGTCATCGGCCCGGACTTAAAAACAGGCTCCAGCCGCGTCCGCGCGCACGACGACGATGAGCGACGAGCGACGAACCACGAGCGACGACGACGGACGACGACGGCGACGACGACGACGACGACGACGACGACGACGCCTGCGGACCAGACACCTGCGCGGATTCCTACGCGGACACCTACGCGGATCCCAGTGCGCACGGCGGCAGTGCCCAGAGCGCACTGGGGGGGGGGGAGCGTTACGTCATAGGGGGGGGGAGGGGGGGAGCGGGGGCCATGACGCCCGTCATGCCCCAAGCAATAAAGAAACGGGCGCATTTTCCTCGAGCAGGCACGCCCGAGATGCACTTCTTCCTCTTCCGGGAGCACGTCCCAAGTCAGAATATCACACTCCCGGGGCGCACTTTCTTCGAGCGGGCACACAAAGGATGCACCTCCTCCTCCTCTTCCTCCTCCTCCTCCTCTTCCTCCTCCTCCTCCTCCTCCTCCTCCTCCTTCTCCTCCTCCTCATGCTCCTCCTCCTGCTCCTCCTCCTTCTCCTCCTCCTCCTCCTCCTCATCCTCCGCTTCCTCCCCCCACTCCTAGCCCTGTCGATCAGGGTCGGCGGCACCGGCCGTCAGGCCTCTCCAATATGATCGCGAAAGGGCAAGAACACGAAAATCGTTGAAGAAACCATTGGGAATCAATATTTGTTGCCTCTTGGTGCCCTCGGCCCATGCCGCCACCGTTCCTGGGTTGTGGGTTAGGCCTCTTGGAAGTTCGTTGGGATATCGTGCAAGGCCTCTCGGAGGCCTTCTGGAAGCAGTTTGGAAGCCTCCAGGGGTGCGTTTTGGAGCCTCTTGGGGCCTCTTTTGGGCCTCCTGGGGGCCTCTTTGTGGTCTCTTGGACCGTCCTGAGGCCCTCCTGGGCCGCCTTGGGCGCCTCTTGGGCCGTTTGAAGGGCCCTCTTGAGCAGTCTTGGGCCTCTTGGGGGCCTGTTGGGCTCTCTTGGGGCGAGGTTGGAGGCTTCTTAGGCAGACTTGGAGTGTCGAAAATCCGAAAACGCGAAAAACATTGCAGAACAAACTGAATATCAATATGTTTGGCCTCTTGGGGCCCTCTTGGAGGTCCTCTCGGAGCGCTCTTGGGGCCCCTTGGGGGCCTCTTGGGCTATCATGGCGCCATCTTGGATGGCTTTGTGCGCTCTTGGGCCGTCCTGGCGGCCTCCGGGCGTCCGCTGCGGGCGCCGAGGAGGACCCTCGAGGCGCAGGGAACGCCCTGGAGCGTTCAAAAAGACCCGCCGGCGCCGGGGACCAAAGTGGGTTGCGGGGGGAAGGGGGGAGATTTGATTTGGACGCCCGAAATGGGTACGGAAACAAACAACAACCAACAGCGGCCCAAACCAACAGCGGCCGCTGTTGGGCAGGCGGCCTTCTGTCTCAAATGGACACAGGCCGCGGCGGCGCGGACAGCGAGTCCTCTTCAAAATGAACAGGAATTGATGTTGGGCTTTGTACCCATTCTTTCCGTACCCATATCATGCGTGCCGATTCGATAAAGTGGGGGACCCAGGGCCTGGGGACCCGGTCGCCGGTTATATTCTATATATATATATATATAGTCCAATGCCAGGACCACCCTCTTGGAACGACGAGCGCCCGGAGGGCCTGCCAATCTAGCGAGACTCTGTTTGGCCAAGGGTCCAGCCTGCATCCTTTTAGCAACAAGAATGAAGGGGCCCATGGGCACACAAATAAATACACACAAACCCAAAGATTTCCACTAGTGTTTCCACATTTTCTGGATCTTCGTTTTCCCCACCACTTCCCATACTTTCTCATATTTTCCGGTGGATCGACGATACATTGTGTCTGTGTGTTCCCCCTCCTGAAAGAAACGTGCAAGATAAGATGAAACAATTCACCAGGGCTTCAGAGAGAGCCACGTGTATACAGGGGTCTGCCCTCAATCCGTGCAACTGTTGCACAAATGGGGGAACCCCGCTTTGCAAACGAACCGGCCCCCATCCTTGTCCGCCACTGTGCCTCTGGCACGAAGTGGAGATCCCAAAGGCTCACAGCTGTGCTGCTGCTGCGGCCAAGATACAGTGGAGGCCAATCCACAAGAAACCTTCCACAAGAAACCCAACCCTGAGACCCCAGGACGTCCATGGATTTTTGGCGTTGGAACGTTGCGTTTTTCACAGCAAAACCATCGAAGCCCAAGAAGCCCATGGCACCCTGGAGGCCAGCAGGGTGTTTCAGGGCAGGACTCTCAGGAGTCTCCACTGTAGTTTCTCAATGGCCCAGAACTCCAGAGTTCCCGGCCATCCCCGGTTCTCCAGGGGTTACCACAGTGAGTTCTGGGGGGAATTTCCTGCCGGTCCTCTGGAAACTGTGCCCGCCCAAAACGACCTCCCGAACCCTCCAACGTGTCCAAGAGGACTCAGATTCGCCGAAAGATCGCTCCAAGAGGCCCAAGATGGTCTCCAGACGGCCGAAGAGGCCTTCAAGACGGCCCAAGCGGCCTCCAAGAGCACTCCCAAGAAAGGGGCCCAAGAGGCACAACTACGTGATTTCCCTGTGTTTGAAGGATTTTGACGTTTCCGCCGATGCCGAGACGGCCCAGGCCTCCAAGACGGCCCAAAAAGGCCTCCAAGCCAGCTCAGGAAGGCCCCAAAACCGCCTCAAGAGAGATCACAGAGGGGGAACACGAACCGGCATTTCGAGCTCTCCGCCCGTATACGGCCTCGAAGCCCCCGAGAGAAGCTCAAGCGGCCCCCAAGACAGCCCCAAGAGGGGAAAGCACGACCTGAAATTTGGAGTCCTGGACCCCAAGATGGTATCCTCCTTCGCCGCCCCCGTCTCCTGAATCCCTGATCCTTTTTGTCTGCCTCTCCCGATCCTCCACCTATCCCGCCCCCTCTCCCACCACCTTCACATCGACGTGCTACATTGGAGAACACTGGATCGGCCAGGAGGCATTCGAAGGCTATCTGGGAACGCTTCCAGGTTGTCTTGGGCTGCCCCACAGAAGTGTCGGGAGCCTCCAGAGAGGGCCCCGGACCAGGTTGCACGAGAGTCATTCGATGAGCGGGAGTCTTTCATAAGGGAGTCCTGGCCCATCCAACGCTTTATTAGAACGTAACTTCAGGATATCTTGGTCCGTGTTGGTCTCTCATGGGCCGCATTGGACCGAGGGCTATATTGGGGACCCTGTTGGGGCCAGTGCGGTGGCCTCTTACGGGTTCTCCTGAGTACTGTTGGGGGCATTTCGGGAGGTTCTCAGGACGTCTTGGGCTTTCTTTCTTGGTGCGTCTGCGGGCTCTTTGGGCCACCTCTTAGGCAATCTAGGCGCTGACGCTGACGCTGACGCTGACGCTAACGGAGACGCTGACGCTGACGCTGACGTCAACGCCGCGGACGACGACAAGGACGACGACGACGCCGACGACGACGACGACGGCGACGGCGGCGACGACGTCGGCGGCGGCGGCGGCGGCGGCGACGGCGACGACGACGACGACAACGACCACGAGCGACAACAAGCGGCGCCGGGCGGCGGCGGCGGCGGCGGCGGGCGGCGGCGGCGCGCCGAGTCGTCCATCGACGTCTCGGCGGCCTTCGCGGCGCGCTCGGCCAGCGGGCAGCAGGGCGAGAGGCGCCGAGGAAGCGGCGCGCGGCCGGCCGAGGGGCCGGCGCCGGCGCCAGCGGCAACGGTCAACAACGACGACGACGCCGCCGCCGACGACGACGACGACGACGACGACGACGACGACGACGACGACGGCGGCGGCATCGGCGGCGGCGGCGGCGGCGGCGCCGGCGGCGACGACGACGACGACGACGACGACGACGACGGCGGCGGCATCGGCGGCGGCGGCGGCATTGGCGGCGGCGGCGGCGGCGGCGGCGACGACGACGACGACGACGACGACGACAACGACGACGACGACGACGACGATGACGACGACGGTTGCGGCGGCGGCGGCGTCGGCGGCGGTCGACAACGAGCGGAGAGGAGGGAGAGGTCAGGGTAGCCCCGACGGGAAGAGACTCGCAAGCCTGAACCAAAGTTGGGGTGGCGCCCCTCAGAGGGGCACTTGTCACCCTGGCGATTATGAGGAACCAGGGAGGAAGCGGGACGGGAGAGTGGAGGAGGACGAGGGGAGGAAGGAGGGGGAGGAGGAGGAGGCAGGGTGCGAAATGCAATCTGAGTAGGTGCGCTCGCGTCAAATCTGACGTCCTACCCCTCCCTCCCACTCTTTACCAGTGCATGGAGCCCCTCTCTATTCACCCAGTCGGTTGTCGAAGAGGACAATGATCCCCAATCGGTACGCGATGCATAGCATGGCATACCATGGCGTAGGAGAGCACGGTAGAGAGCAGCATGGCATAGCGAGGTGTGGCAGCGCGTAGTCAAGCATTGCATATGATCATAAGATGGCAGCGGAAGGCATGGCATCGCCTAGTGGCACATGGCAGATCATGGTTTGGCACGAGACCAACTGGCATGGTATGGCACTGCGTCGCCCAGCATTGCATATCACAGCATTGCAAAACAAAGCATCACATCGCATAGCGGTACACAACAGATCATTGCAACGCATGCCGTGGCTGCGTGAATGGTCCAGCCGAACAAAAAAATGCTGGAAAGCGAAAGCCAGCTCTTGAAGGATAAGAAAAGCAGAAATGAGGCCAGCGCTGCAGCGGGAACACCCTTCGTCGTCTGGCATGACCTACAACGCACAAATGAGACCAACGCCGCAGCGAGAACACGATTTTGAAGAAGCAGAAGCGCTGAAATGACGCCAGCGGCGCCGCGGGAGCATGGTTGACCGAAAACTGAGGACCCACGTGAGAAATACAGACGGTTCGATGTGTAGCAAGCAATACGAGAAGAGGGCGGGATAGCTTGCGGACAGTAGTATATGCATACCTTGTACACGTCGATTTGGAGAAGTAGATAACAACATGAAGTAGGACGGCGGAAAAAGTATAGTGGACCTGGGCCCTCCAAAAGTGCAAACAGGATGCAGCAACAGTATAGCGATTCTTGAAATATAAAGTCGCTGGAAACAGATTTGGACCTGGGAATCCAAACGGACCAACTTCCGACGACCGGCGTGTCACTGAATCGGTGAAACATATGACTCGGGTTCTGGGGACCCGGGTTGGCCTGGCAAGGCCATCATGAAAATGACGGGACCTAGGTTGAAATTTGACGCGAGCTTCCGCTGCAAACATCCCACGAAAACTGGAACGTCAAAATCCAGGACGCGCTCGTCGAAACGCGTAGGCAAACCAGAGTTCCGGCGCACTCGAGCCTTACGCTTCCCCGACTCAGGGGGAGGGGGGACGCGCACTTGCCGAGGGGCACTGGCGTCTGCGCACGCGGGCCGGGTTGGGCGCGCCTCCAGCCCTGTGCGGGCACGCGGGACGCCGTGCCCCGATCGTCCACCGGGGCGCCCGCGACTTGTTACCACTGTGACGGATGGCGTGCGACCGCCAGCGACCGGCGGCGCCCGTCGCCGTCGCCGTCGTCGCCGTCGTCGTCGCCTTCCCCGTCGCCGTCGCCGTCGCCGTCGCCGTCGCCGTCGCCGTCGCCATCGCCGTCGTCGTCGTCGTCGTCGTCGTCGTCGTCGCCGTCGTCGTCGTCGTCGTCGCCGTCGTCGTCGTCGTCGTCCTGCACTGGGGGCCAGGCGGAGGATCGGTGTGGGGGACAGGGGGTCGGAGGATCGGGGGGGGGGGGGGGCAGCATCGGGGGGGGGCCGAGACGGTGCGGCGGGGGGGGGGGGGGGGCGAGCTTCGAAACGGACGAAGGGATAAGAAAAGAACTGGCACACGTGCCCTCAACCTGCACCTGCGAAGAGCAGGAGAAGGGCAAAGGCGATCCTGGATTCAGGGCGATCTGACCCGGGACAGCCAAGGCCACGTCGCGAACCCTGGCCGGCAGCATACAGCAGCTCGCAAGGGGGTCTCGGCTTCACGCGGCACCCAAGCCCAGGCCAGCCACAGAGGATCCAAGCGGATTGGCTGACCCCCGTGAGCGTTGAGCCCCGGTACGTGCGCCCCGAATCCTGGGGCCCTCTCGGAGCTCTCTCGCGGCCTCTCAGGGCCATTGTAGAGGCCTCCTAGACGGTGTCCGAGCAGATGGGATCGGAGGATCGCGCCGCATCGCAAATGCATCGCCAATACATCACCAATGCATCGGCTTTGCATCGGCGATGCATCGGCGACGTCGGCGATGCATCGGCGCCATCGGCGTGGAGGAACTCTGGCAGCACATCGAGCCGCATCGCCGATGCATCGGCGATGCGGCTCGATCCTCCGACCCCATCTACTCGGAACCCATCTCGGAAGCGTGAAATCTAGGGGCAGCCGCAAATGCCATCTTGGTTCAATTCGGGGGGCCTCCCTGGCCCTATTTGGGACTCGCGGAGGGCCTTTGGGTCTTCTCGGAGTTCTCTGTGGCCCATCTCGCAGCCATCTGGGCTGCTGGAAAAGGCGAGAAAATTCAACACGCAAGGGCACCATTAAGACTTCGCTGCGGCACGTCGTGAACTGTCTGGGGGCCTCGAGGCCCACCTCCAAGCATGCTGGGTCATAGTCGTCGGGGCCCCTCGGGAATCGCAGACCTGGTTGTGCAATGCCTTGGAGGGCATGGGCAGGGGAGGAACAGAGGACACAACGGAGGGGAACGTAGTTTTCCTGCTTTCAAGGGGTCCTGGACGCCTTGTCGACCGGCCCGAACAAATCCGTTAAGTTTGCATGCCGGCAGGTAGGATGATTACCTCGGTATGATGATTACACCCCAAGCCGAGTCTGTGGAACAGACGAAGAAAGAATCGAACTCTGCACAGGCGGCCATTGGTGGTCTCAGTGTGGATTGCGAACTGGGCGATGTGACAAGCACCACAATGTGGCGAATCTGGCCCGCTGCGCAGTAGAGTTGTCGCCTGCTCCAGACCATCGACAAGCGATCGCCTCCGTACTCATCACAGTCGGCATTCGGCATAACTCGCTGCCACACAAACATCACAGCGAAACGGCCAGACGCCCCCGTTCTTGCTTGTTTCAAATGTCTGACCCTGGCCACGGCGTCAGATCACCAGAACGGCAGAGTGTGCGAGGAGGGAGGAAGAAGAGGAAGAGGAAGAAGAGTAAACGAATAATAGGAAGAGGAAGAAGAGGAGGAGAAGGAGGAGGAGGAGGAGGGCAGAGGACGGCAGTGAATTGGGGAGGAAAAGGAGGAGGAGGAGGGGGAGGAGGAGGAGGGGCAGGAGGAGAGGGAGGGGGAGGAGGAGGAGGAGAGGGAGGAAGACGATTCGGAAGACGATTCGGAGGAGGAAGAGGAAGAAGGGGAGGAGGAGGAGGAGGAGGAAGAGGAAGAGGAGGAAGGCAGAGGACGGCAATGAATGGGACCTCCTGCCTCCTGCCTGCCCTGCGCCGCCCACCTCGTACTCGGTGCCCGCGATCCCCAAGCTGTCCTCCTCCCGGTAGCTCGTGTAGCCATCCGTGTCCTCGCCCCAGGGGGGGGGTTCAGAGATGGGGCCCCAGGGGATGGTCGGGACCCATCAGAAGGGGGGTGACCCTGAGGGCGGGCATGAATTCGATCCGCTGGTGCACCGAACTGCCGCAAACAGATGCCCCCCGCATGCCCCACCCATCGGCAACCATCGGGAGCTGCCGGCGGCTGGGGGGCATCTGTTTTGGGCGGTTCGGTACAAAAACCGATCTCTCTCTCTCTCTCACACACACACCCTTTGCGGGATCCCGAGATGGGGTCCTAGGGACGAGAACCTCAGATCAGGAAGGCTCAAGGTGTGATCCGCTTCCCATCCGCAAGGCCCCATCCCTCAGGGCCAAGTCTCTCTGAACCGCCCACAGCAGAGGCCTCCTAGGTGGGGTCGGAGCAGATGGGGTCGGAGGATCGCGCCGCATCGCCGATGCATCAGCGATGCATCGCCTAGAAAAAAGTGCGGGGGGGCGCCAAGTCTTTGGACGTCCATTCCCCGTGCGCTTCTCGGTGTCGTGCGTGTTTTTGGTTCGTTCTTGCGTCATGCTGGTGCGGACTGCCTCTGCCTCGCCGCCGACGAAAAAAAGTTGCTTGTTCGCAAAGATGGCCCAGGACGCTCCTCGAGGGCCCTCGCCGAGAAAAAACAATTTCAAACATCCGAGCGACGCCAGGCCAACAAGGAAGTGGGAAGGGGGGCGCCAGGCCTCCGCCGGGGTGGGGGCGGGGGGAGTGGGATCGCACAGCCTCCGCGCGCCGAGGAGCGGGGGGCGGGGATCGGGATCCACCAAAAGCATGACTTCGCTCCGCCGGTGCACCAAACTGCCGCAGACAAATGCCCCTCCGCAGGCCCCACCTGTCGGCAACCATCGGGAGCTGCTGGAGGCTGGGGGGCCGCTGTTTTGGGCGGCTCGGTGCACCAAAACCATCGAGCTTTCTCTCTCACACACGCAGACACTTTTTGCGTCGGCGGCTAGGCAGAGGGACTGCGCTGGCGAGTCAACTCTCTCTCTCTCTCTCTCTCTCTCACACACACACACACCCTGGGGCACGCTCCCCCTTTGCGGGATCCCGACGAGAGCAGAGGGGGAGGGCCAGGGACGAGACGGGGCTCGAGTTCTAAAAGCAGTGCTTGGCATTGTCGCGCTCGCTCTCCGCCGCCCTCCGCGCCGTGCCAGCTCCGCCTCCTGCGCCGCGAGACGGGATCCGCACGAGAGCGGCCCACGAGCTCGCCCGGACACCGTCTGGCTCGAGCCCGGGGGCAATCGTGCGGTCATCGCGCGACGGGCCCAGGACGCGCCCCCGGAGCTCTGGAGCACCCCGCGGCCCTTGTCTCCAGGGTCCGCGCGGGACGGCAGGAGAGCCTGGCGTGCGAGGGACGTGCCGTTACCATGACGCCTCGCAGCTCCGACGGAGGCAGGGGAGGAATCGCAGAGGAGGAAAAGGTACCCATGCCTCTACCCCCCCTCGTTTCCCCCTTTTCGGGCCTCCTGGGCCTCCGTCGCCGCCACCGCTGGATGCGCCTCGAACTACTGGTCAGAACGCACCCCAAGAGAGGTAGATGTCCGGGGAGCGGCTGTATGGGAGGACGCGAAAGCGGCATAAGCATAAACTTTTGGCGCTCCGCGCGGATCTTATGGGGGGGGCTCGCAGCGCCCCAGCGCGGGTCCAAGACGGGCGAGCGCGGGGGCCGCGGGACGAGGGAGGGATGCACGGGACGACGACCTGGTGCTTTGTTCCTCTCAGACCTTCGGCCTGGAACATGCTCTCTGCCCGGCCCTACGAGATGAGCCCCCGATGACCCCAGAAGCCGCCAAGAGGGCCACGAGGTCCCAAGAGAGCCTAAAATCGGGGAGGTGCAAGCATGGATTCGGGATCCATGGATTTGGCGCGCGGTCGCCAAATCCATGGATCGGGGGATGTGCCCTTCCCAAAATGAGGCCGGTGGCGCCTCGTTCGGCGGCGGAAATCCGCGATTTCACATGGAAACGGGACCCGTCGCTAATCCACGCCACCTTGATCCATGTTTGCGACCGCCTGACAAAAGGTCCCGCAGACGGCCCCAAAGAGGGCTCGAGAGGCCTCCAAGACAGCCCCATCTTCCGAAGGCAAAGGCCCCCAAGAGACCTCCATGAGGCCCCCAGGAGGCCTCCTCCTCCGCCTCCTCCTCCGCCTCCTCCTCCTCCTTCTCCTCCCCCTCCTCCTCCTCATCCCCTTGCTCCTCCTGATTGCTTCTCTTTCTGAATCACTCCCCCCTGTCGCGCCTTCAGACGTGTCGGTAGGGCAGGCTGGGCGTCTCGCATGAAACTTCCTCACCATGTATGATCCTGAGGCTCGAAATTGGCAATTGGTTCAAGGCTGGAGGGCGGCCCATTTTCAAAGTGTGGTTCTCGCCTCAGCGCCGCGCGCATCTTTCCTGAATTTCCGCAGCAGTTCTAAACATGGAGGGCGGGTCGTTTTCAACATGAGGCTCTCACCGTAGCGCCGCAGATTCGTTTTGAACGTGTGCAACAATATCAGAGGTGGAGGGCGGCCCGCTTTCAAAATGTGGCTCTCGCCTCAGAGCCACGCACATTCGTAGTGAAAAGTCTGCAGCAGGTACAGAGATTCGTGCGGTTGAATTCCCAGGAACGGCGTGCTGACAGAATTGATGATTGTCAAGACATAACAGTCGCGTTGATCCGCGGTGTTCAAGTCCCAGGGATGTTGCTCTGGTAGGATGTAAGGTTTTCAAAACGCAACAGTCACGCAAGGTTTTGAACTCCCAGGAATTGCATCTCAGCACGACTGAGGATTATCTGACGGCTGTCTTCCGAAGGGGTATTCCCCATAATGGAAACACATCACTGTAGGGATCTGTGAAAGAAGAGCATGGAGGGAGGGTGTACTGCAATATCGTTGATACGTCTTGGGCTTACACTAGTCCTCCTTGTCCTCCTCCTCCATCCGTCATCTTAAAAAGATACCTCCCCCTTTCGCACCCCGGGACGTGTCGGGAGGACAGGCCAAACATTTCGCCTGAGACTTCCCACCATGTGTGATCATGGAGCTTGAGATTTGCAGCAGCTTTGCGGATGAAGTGCGTCCCGCTTTAAAAATGTGGTTCTCGACCTGGCGCCTCGAACAACTTGTCTTGAACGCGCGCAAGAACCTCCAGAACGGAGGGGGGTCGTTTTCAAAATGCTCGAGAATGGAGGGCGGGTCGCTTTCAAGATGTGGCCATCGCCTTGGCGCCACGCACATTCGTCTTAAAACTTTCAACAGCTTCCAGGATGAAGGGGGCTCGTTTTCAAAATGCGGCTCTCGCCGCAGCGCCGCACACAATCGTGCGCGGCACGATCCAAAATGTGGCCCTCGCCACAGCGCCGCGCACAGTAGTCAAAAGAAGTGCCATAGGTTGAAAGATTGAGGGGGGGATCGTTTTCAAAATGTGGCTCTCACCGAAGGGCCGCACACGCTCGTCTTGAACGTTTGCAACAGTGCCCAGGATGGGGGGCGGCCCGTCTTGAAATGTGGCGCTGGCCTCAGCGCCGCGCGCATTCGTCTCACACGTTTGCAACCGTTTCATAGATGCTGCGGTTGTTGCCTCAGCGCCGCGCGCAACCGTTTGAACAAGTGCGCAACAGCCTTAATGGTGGAGGGCGGCCAGTTGTCGAAATGTGTCTCTCCGTATAGCCGAGCGCAATCGTCCGAACGGTTCAGGAGAGCTTACAGAACCGTACGATTAAAGTCCCAGGGATGGCACTCTAGCACAATTCAAAACTGTCAGGGAGCAACCACCAAGTTGATCCGAGGCTTTGAACTCCCAAAGCATGGCACCCTGGTCAATTTAGGACTGTCCGGACGCGACAGTCAGCACGGCTCGCGGCGTTGAAGACCCTGGAGTCGTGCTCGGGCACGATTAAAGATTCTCAGACGGTTGTCTTCCGATGGAGCACTTCCCGAGATGGAAACACTTTCTTGAACGGATATATGAAGGAGGAATTTGGAGGGAGAGTGGATCGCAACATCGTTGACGCGTCTTGGGCGTAGACTGGTCCTCCTCTTCCTCCTCCTCCTCATCTACCCTTTTCCTGACAAGTACCTCCCCCCTGTCGCACCCCCAGACGTCTCGGTAGGGCGGGCAGGGCGTTTCGCCTGAGAATCCTCACCGCTTCTGGTCCTGAAATTTGCAATTTGCACCTAAATCACGGATGGCGTGCGGTGCGTTTTAAAGCATTGTTCTCACCTTGGCGCCTCGCAAATGTGCCGTCGAAGTGTGCCACCGTTTCAAGAATGGAGGGATGACGCTTGGAAAATACGGATCTCGCCGCAGCGCTGCGCAGCAATCGTCTTCACATCTGCAACAGTTTCAAAACATGTACGGCGGGTCGCTTTCAAAATGTGGCTCTGGCCTGGGCGCCGCGCGCATTCGTCTTAATCCCACCAGCCCTCTCGGCGTAGGTGGTTTAACGAACTTGTGTCTTCTCTCAATTAAAACCCTCCTTCCCCTGCTCGGGGGAGGGGCCAACCCTTTCCCGTACCCCTCCCCTGGGTCTGGAAAGGAGGGGGCTCGTGTCAGAGACTGCTTGGTGGTCCAGGATGGCTCCAAGAGGGCCCTGCCAGTCCAAGCTGGTCTTCAAGGTGGGTCACGAACCTCGAGATAGCTTAAGGTGCCTCCGACGCACATCATGGAGGCCTCAAGAAGGCCACAAGGCGGTTTCCGAGGACCCACCCCCAAGAGAAGCCAAAATGGCCCAAAATCGATGGAAACTCAATGTGCCTTCTCGGTGTTTCGCTTCCGATGGGTTTTGAAACCTCAAGATGGCCCCAAGACGGCTCAAGAGAGGCCCAAAGAGGGGCCCAAGAGGGCCCCTAGAGGGCCCCAAGAGCGCCCAATAGCGCCCCAAGGGCGGCCCAAGAGGACCCCAAGACGCCGTGTTCGAGTCTAAGGTGGAGCATGGCTCAAGATAGCCTCCGATAGACCTCCAACCGGCCTCAAGACAACCCCAATGTGACCCAAGATAACTGAACATGGCTCGAGATAGCCTCCGACGGCCTGTAGCCGAGCATGGCTCAATATAGCTTCCAAGAAGTATCAATCACATTTCCATTCGTGTATGGATGGGCTGATGGAGTTATTTTTCTGATTGGCGGCTCCAAGGAAAAGTCCAAGAAGCGGGGCGGGCGCGTCTGGGGCACAGGGCGAGATAATTGGTTACGAAGGCGCCCGGGCCAACGTAACAGATGCACCTGCAAGAGGCAAAATGCCCCTCATTAAGCTGCGAGCAACCCGCGAACGGGAAAGCAAGCACCAGGCAGGAAAGGCGGAGAGGAGTCGCACAGTGACGCCAGCTCAAGCCATCCAACTCACAGAGCACAGGCTGGGGCAGGGCAGCCAGGTGGCAGGACAGTGGGCACGTGAGGCCGAACCGCTCACCACTGCGAGGTGAGAGAGGTGGGAAAGCGCGGGCAGAAGAGGAACCAGGTAAGCCTCACTCACATGGATTCCTGGGCGCGATACGACGTGACCCAACGACCATTGCACTGACGTCGAAACCGCCGCAGAATCTGCACCGTGACTGCCTGACCCGGGGCGACGGGGGAAACGGCAGCAGGTGTGGCCGAGCACCATGGACCAACCCGTAGGAGAGCATGAGTACAGTCAAAGGCTGAACCACTTGAGCAGTACCAGGAGCACGATGATGGCTCCCGCCCAGGGGTGAAACACGTTGTCGGCGAACAGCGCAGGCAGCTTACCCCACACGGTGGACGGGGGAAGCAAGCGGCGCGCGTCAATCGGGGGCCGTGGTGGACCAGAAGGGGGAACGTCGACAGACGAGCAAAGGGTGTACCACTTGCCGTACCGCATCGTTCCAGGTCCAGCCCCCGGTGGTGCCGGGGCACGCAGGGGCCCAAGAAGCCATAGCAACACCAGGTGGCAGTGCGGCCCGCCTTTACCACGGAGCGCCGCGGGAGATCCGCCAGCGGTGTGTAGACCCGAGTGCTCCACGAGCCTCGGTGGGGGGGAAGTCGTGTGTGTCCGAATCCACAGGAGGAGGAGAGGGGGGGAGGAGGAGGCGCAGCCGATAGCCGCAAAATCAGCAGCTAGTATAGCGAGACCCAGGCCACTGTGATCGCACCGCGCGATGCGGAGGACCTCGGTCACGGGGGGGACAGGGTGCCTGAAGATGCTGGGGGACGCCGTGTCCCAGCTGCAGGGCCGCAACGCCGGGGGGGAACCACGTGAGGTGCAACGCGTCGGAGTCAGGTGTGGCGCGTGGGGTGGGCCTATGGCCATCATCTCCAGCCTGCCAAAGTGGGTGTCCCAAGGGGGACAAAGTGGGTGTCCCAGTGGTACACGGGCGGTGGGTTATTTCAGCCGTCACCCGCCTACGAAGGGTGCCACGAGACCAGCGTGGGCTGTCTAGTGCACAGCGCGTGGGTATTGGTGCACCTCTACCCCGAAAGAGGTGCACGGGGGTATTAAGGCCGAGGCCTGGCGCTGCGGTGAAGCCAATCCCTGCCCGGGTGGGGACGCCCATGAAGGATCTGAACTGTAGGGGACTAACCAGCTACGTACGTCAGTCCACTCCTGCCTCGCTGTGCGCAGCAAAGGGCCGGTTGAGGACCATGGGGCTGCCAACCCAGCGGGCACCGCCTGGAACGGAGGGTTCCCAGATAGCCCACAACGTCAACGCGATGGAAACAACCTTGTAGAGGGTGGGGGAGGCCGATCCCAGCTGCCCCAGGTCGTAATTGTCCAAAAGGAAGCGTTGCGCTCCATGACAGTCCGAGTGGCAACTCTGAGAATTGACATGGCTGGGTGAAGAAAGGCTTGAGCCGCAAATGGGCTACGTGGGCCATCCTGCTCAGGACCCGGGTTGGGACAGATGGGCAGGTAGGGGGCTGCGTGGGGTGAGCCCGCGGAGGGTCTCTGTGCGGGCGGGCAGACCTTCACTGATGGAGTTACGCGAAGCCTCAAGAATGGCAACAGCTTCCAGGATGGAGGGTGGTCGTTGTCAAAATGTGGCTCTCGTCTTAGCGCCGCGCACCTTCGTGTTAAATATTTGCAACAGCTTCAAGGCTGGAGAGCGGTACGTTTTCAAAATGTGGCTCTCGCCACAGCGCCGTACACATTCGTCTTAAAAAATGTGCATTAGCTTCGAGAATGGACGGAACGTCGCTTTCAATAGATGGTTCTCGCCTTGGCACCGCGAATTTTCGCCTTAGGCTATTCAGCATCTTCCAGGATAGAGGGGTGTCGTTTGCAAATGCGGTTCTCGCCGAAGCGCCGCGCATATCGTCTGAAAGCGTGCAACAGCTGCAGGGATGGAGGGGGGGTCCTATTCAAAAATCTGGCTATCGTCGTAGCGATGCGCATAGTCGTCTCAAATGGGGCTCTCGCCTAAGTGCAGCACTTTCAAGAATGTAATGTCCGATGGTTGAATTCCCAGGAACGGCGTTTTGGCACGGTTCACATTTGTCAGAACGCAACAGTCACGTTGATCCGCGACGCTGAAATTCCAAGAATTGTGTTCTGGCACGGCTTAAGATTACCAAGATGCGACAGTCACTACGATTCGCTGCAATTGAAATCCCAGAACTAGTGTTTGGGCACGATGGAGGATTCTCAGACGGTTGTCTTCCGATGGGGCACTTCCTGCGGCGAAAACGAAGTCTTCTAGGTACCTATGAATAGGGAGGGATGGTGTATTGCAACATCGCTGATGCGTCTTGACGCTGGTCCTCTTCCTACTCCTCCATCGCCTCTCTTCCTCCCCCGAGCGTTCCCTCAACTAAGGCTTTCCACAACGGCTGGGGGAACAGCGCCCAATAGCTTGGCAAGACCTCGGCGCCATGCTTGCACACACCTTTTTAGTCCGCGGGCGCCGATTGGTCCAAGGCAGTCGGAGGCCAGTCGCGACAAGCGGTGAGATGCACCGGGAGCGCATTGAGGCACGAAAGCAGCAGAGAACAGGGCACGAAGGCAAATGAGAACAGGTACAGTCGGGGTGGATTGAAGAGGACACGCGAGAAGACACAGGACTCTTCCGAGGGCCACGTTGCCATATGAATGTAGAAGCATGGGTCGCGAGGCACAGGACACAAGGGCACCCTTGATTTGGCAGGGTCGACCTACTAAGCTTAGGTCGGGCCTGTCCCCCTACAGGTGGATTTGGGAAGAAAAATTAGAAATAGTCAAAAAATACTCCAACTAATGCCCAAAAATGGTCGTAACATCGTCTCCAGATAATTTGTTTACTATTTTCAAAGTTTCCTCCTGCAGAGGGACAGGCCCGACTTAATTCTCAGCCTCGACTGTGCGCTTCGCCACACGGGCGTTTCCCAAAAGGCAAGGAGCGGCGGCGCAGGCGTCTCTTCCACCGTCAGACTCTCCGCTGCGGGTGGGAGGCCACGTGCGAACCCTGCCCCTGCCCCCCACGATTTCTGAGGGGGAGGGTGGGGTTCACTTCGCTCGGGAGCTCCCGAGCGAAGTGAACCCCACCCTCCCCCTCAGAAATCGTGGGGGGCAGGGGCAGGGTTCGCACGTGACCCCCTAGCGGGGGGCGCCCGTCAAGGGGCGGCCGGGAAGCTCACACCCGTGCGAGCTGCCTCGGGGGCACGAGCTCCCCCGCCGCCCTTGGGCTGGCGCCCCCGTCGTCGGAGCACGACTCGTTCGGGCGGGTGGTGACGGGGGGTAACTTACACTCGGCGGCGAGCGGGGGGGGGTGCAAATGAGAAGGAGATGGCCTTCTCAGGCGGCGGGACTTCTCAGGAGCCCTCGCGCCTTCGGATCAGTTTTTTGTATGTTTCTGGGCAGGCTCAGAAAACTTCTCGGAAGGCCAGGGGACTCCGGAGCCTTCTGAGAAGGCCTTCTCCTTCGCACTTTCCCCCTCGCTCGCCGCCGATACAGGGGGGCTGAGGGAACGGAGGCCCTTTGGGGCCCCTGTGTGGGGCCAGCAAAAGCCCTGCCCCCCATAAAAGGTCACCCCCCAGTACCACCCGCCCGATTTGCATTAGAGTACAGCCGGACCTAGGCCAGAAGAACATCCCTCAAGAACATGAGACCCTCCGTCGGCCAAAACAAACAGAACATCCAAGGATACTCTCCCCAAGACGCACCTGAACATCCAACGAACACGAAGAGCATCAGGGCACCCTCCCCGAACTGACCTCGATCTTCTACCTCGGTCCGACTGCATGAAATTAGATTCGACCGCTCTCGGACCGCCGAAAGAGGCCTCTCGAGACGCACGAGTGGTCCGCCCCGCCCTCCTAACCGCGGCGGTCCTGATCTGGGTAGGCCGGCTCCCTGTAGTCCGCTGGCGGGTGGGTCCGGAAGGGCCACGGCCACAGCCACCTGGCGCGGGGCCCGCCTCCCCTGAGGGGGGGCGGCGGGGTCGGGCAGAGCGAGGCGGAGGCCTCTTTTGGACCCTCTGCGATGAACAGCGTGCGGGAGGAGGAGAGCGCCTCGACAGGGCGCGCCGCACAAGCGAGGACGAAGGCGAAAGGCCCGAGAGGGCTCCGCGGCAAAAAATGCGGCTCCGAAGCGCCGCTGGAAGCCACGGGCCAACGGAGAGGGGTCACGAGGGCGAGGGCGAGGGCGACGACGACGACGAGGAAGAGGACGCGAAAGACGAGAAGGAGGCGGAGGACGATGAGCACGAGGGCGAGGAGGAAGAGAGGAGAGACAAAAACGACGACGACGACGACGACGACGACGACGACGACAAAGAAGACGACAAGGAGGCTCCCTGCAAAGGCGGCGGTTGAGCCTGCGGTGGAAGAGAGGCGGCAGATGGACTGGACGACCAAAAACCCTACCCCTTCAACTTTCGGAGATCCGTGTGGACCTACCGGGTCGGCGCGGACACCCGGCGCCTCAGGCGCGGCCCCAGAGGCCGCCTCCGCGTGCGTGGTGGGCGGGGGGGGGCGGAGCGGCTCGGCGCCGACCCGAGAAGCCCGCGCTGATTGACGGACGGCGCTGCTCCCCCTGGCGGCTCGAGGAGGCCGCGCCCGGGATGCCTCGCCCACCGGGTGGGACGCACGGAGGCAGACTGCCACCATCTGTCCTCCTTGGAGGCGAGCGTCCAACCAGAACACATGGTATACCCATGTTGTTGCATGTCGTTCCCCGAGCGGCGTGGCCAGAAAGCGCCCGCTACGACGCATACACTATAAAATTCTGGGGAAACCAAGAGGTACCGATACCGCTACTCCCTGGACCTTCCCGGGGTGCGTTGTGACCAGAATTTTGAAGCGAATGCAGCGGTGGCGACGACTGCCTCACAGAGGGCCCAAAAAGAGGAAAACGGGCGAAGGGTAGAGGTATGGATACCGTTTTCTCCTCTGAGATTTCTCCGTGCGCGCGTCGCCCCTGGGAGGGCGACGCACACATAGTATTAGAATGGTGGGGTGACGCCGACCCCAGGGCCCTCCACGCACACAGACCGAAGCCAGAAGAGGACATCGGCGGGGCGCGAGGCCGCTGGTTCGTTTTGCCGCGGAAAGGGCCCGAGCACGAGCAGCCCTCCCGAGAGCAGACCATATGCGAGGCGAGAACGCACCATGACCACAGCCTGGGGGAGTAATCTCTGTGGACCTCGCTTGGCAGTGGATATGGATGTACAGTAGGGGCTCGACCACAGGAAACCTTCCACAAGAAGCCCAACCCTGAGACCCAAGGACGACAATCGAATTTTGGTGCGAGAGCGTCACGCTTTCCATCGCAGAATCATCGAAACCCTAGAAGCCCAGGGCGCCCTGGAGGCAAGCTGGGTGTTTCTTGGCGTGGGCCCCGCTGTACTTGGCCCCCCAGTCGAAGTCTACATAGTGAGGACGGGCGGGAAGGACGCACGGACGTCGGACGCCGAAATTGTCACTTCTTGGGCGGCGGAATGCCAACACCCTGAATGGCTGGCCGGTGAAAACCACGAAGGACGGGCCGCAGAGGCAAGGACGCCAAGGCATCCTTAGGACATCCGTGCATCAGTGCCATGAGTTTCGACTGTAGGTCCGCCAAGATCGACCCCCAGGCGGTGGTTGTGGATCAAACCTCCGCCGCGGAGACCAGAGCCTGCCCCCAGCACCCCCCCCCACCAGCCAGACCAAACAACAAATGCCTCCGCCTTCTTCTCATCACAAATCCGCCACCGCGGCCGCGAGGCATTGAGTGGAGTATCCCCTCAGGTCCCCTTCGAGTTCTCTGCACTGGGCACTGTACAATCATCAAGCTTGCAGAAAAGATGCGAAATGAAGAACAAAGAGGATTTCTGGCCACGGCGATCCTCAACCACGAATGTTCCCGAACAAGATCTAAGGAACGAACCGAGAGCCAGAGAGGTCCCCATTCGGCATTCTGACTGTAGATACTCTTTGACGGTCCCGGACCCCAAATGTCCAGCTTTCCTGAGCGTTCCCTGGCGATGACAGGCTTCCCGCAAAACGTCGTTCCCAGAGACCTTGGGAGCGTGGTCCGGACATGTCATCCTGCCAACATGGGTTTTGAGATGGTTCAGAAACGCCCCAGAAGATCGCCGCAAACGGCCCCCGAAGCCCCCACGAGGCTCTCGAGAGGCTCCCAAGAGGCCCCCAAGAAAGCCCCAAGAGGGGTCCACAAGGTGAGCGCTTTCTTATTCGGCGTTTCGACATTGGGCGGAACGGAAGGGGGGGGGCGGGGGGGGGGTCTGGCTCCGAACCTCTGCTTGATGAAATTGTCTGCAACAGAGCGTGAGACTCCACCTGCTTGAGCCCGGAACCAATATCCGGGAACCGGGGAACCAGGAACCGGGAACCCAGCCTGCTACCAAAATCGGCGGGAAACTTTCGCCAAATCTTTCAACTTCCGCTAGGACCCCTTCAGTGCAAGCACTGATTGGGGAATATAAACAAGCGCGCTCCACTACTCGCAAAGTAACTGGAGTGGACCCGTATCATAAGGATGCGCGGTGAGGACGCCAGGGCCTTGGAGACCCATGTGAACGCTTTTCGAATGAGGTTGGCCAGCGAATGTCGCTAAGGATGGACTGAAGCAGCAAAGATGCAAAGGTACCTTTGGGAAGGGTTGCCCATCCTTACTATGCGGGTCGACTGTATAGACAAGCGCGCTCCACTACTCGCAAAAGAACTACTCGCAAATGGCCTGGATCCACCGCGGGGGATTGACGGTCTACACGACGAGGCGAACATGTGTTATTCGAACGTTTGCGAGTAGGCACTTTGCGAGTAATGGAACGCTCTCGGTGACTTCTCACAGCTCCGCTGGGGCTCCCTGGCGGCGCCTCCGGCGCTGCCCCTTGGCGCGCTCCGTCCGTGGGCCAGCAAGGGCGGCGCCCAAAACAGCCCAAGAGGGCCCCAAGACGGCCTCAAAAGCGGCCCAAAAGAGGGAACGCAAACCGAAATAGCATACCGCCCTCAGAAGCCCCCAGGAGGCCCCAAGAGGCGCCCAGGAGGCCCCAAGAGGCCCCCAAGAGGCCCCCAAGAGGCTCCAAGAGGATCCCAAGAGGCCCAAAAGAGGCCCAAAAAGCCCCCAAACGGCCCCCAAAAGGCAACCAAAGTGCCTCCAAGAGGCCCCCGAGAAGCCTCCCTCGAGATCCTAACGAACATCCAATTCGCTGGCCCAACGGGCCAGAAGCGTGCTAAGATCTCGGGAAGCAGGTCTACAGTGCTTCTACTTCGCGCGCGCGGGGCTGCTTCTGGGGGTCCCCGGACGAGAAGTACCCGCTGAGGCCCGGGCGCAGCGCCTCAGAGATGGTTTTCCACCTGGGTTCGGCCTTTCAGGACCCCCAGAACGCTCGGAGAGGCCCGAAGAGGTCCCCAGGACGGCCCAAGAAAGCCCCTAGTCACCGAAAAGACGCTCCAAGACGCCCAAGATGGCCCCAAGACGGCCCAGGAGGCCCCAAAGAAATCCCAAGAGCGCTCAAAGAGGACCCCAAAGAGGGCCTGAGCAAACATCATGGATCTTCGTGTATTTTCGGTTGTTCGCGTTTTCGTGATTTCGGGCTTCCGACGCTCATAGATGGCCCCAGAGGCCCCCAAGACCGCCCCAAGACGACGCGAAAGGCCCCCAAGAAGGCCCGAAGATGGTCCAAGAGGGCCCAAAAGGCCCCCAGAGGGGTCAAAGATCGCCCAAGTGGGCCCCAAGACGGCCCCAACAGGGGCCTAAGAGGAGGAGCACGAACCACCAATTCGAGCCTTCCGCCCCGAGAGCCCCCCAGGAGGCCCCAAGACACCCCCAAGAGAGCACAGGAGGCCCCCTGGAGGCCGCACAAGGCCCCCAAGAGGCCCAAAAAGAGGCCCCAGGAGGCCCTTATTTTCCTCCTCAGAGCCCCCGACGGATCCCGCCGAAAGGCCCGACTTGGGCCTCGATGGCCCACGGCAGCTGCTCGTAGCCGCCGACCCCGTGCACCCAGTCCAGCGAAACGTTGGCCCCGAACTGGCCGTCGATCTGCAGCGAGGCGCCGAGACTCCGAGAGGCCACGAACGCGCAGGCAAACGCCTGCGATGGCACAATACGGGCCGGCGGAATGAGCGAAGCGATTGCTACCTTTTCTGCGTCTTTCTGGACCCTCTCAGGCCGCCTTGGACCCCTCCCACAAACTCCGCGTTCCAAAAATGATGGCGGCGGTGCCGCCTCAGGAGCGTTCAATTGAGTAAGCCTCATACCCACAGCCCAGGCACGGTGGCGGGGTGGGCCCAAGGCCGTTGTTAGATCGTACCGGCCTGCGCGCTTGGGCTTGGCCTCACCGCGCCCCCCGAAAGCCGCGCACCAAAGGTCCCACTCGGGCGAAGGGACACTTTCACGTGGTCAGGATTCCGTTCGCCGCCGAAGCCGGCTTCGTGGTCAGGGACCCTCTTTCCCGGTCAAGATTCCGCCGTACGTGGCTGGGGGCTGCACCCAAGCCGACGTCGTGCTGGCCAGGATTCCCAAGAAGAGAGTCCAGCCGCGGCGACGAGGGCCTCCTCTGGGAGGCCCGAAGAGACAATACGGGGGGCTCGGTATGTTCTTGAAGGAAGAAGAGGAGAGCGGACATCCCAGCGATAGCCTCCACAAGCGGCGCGTAAGAGATGCGATGTGAAACCTCCGGGAGAACAGACATGCGGACACTTAAAAAACAAAGTGAACAAACCGGGAGACACGTGCAACTGCTTGTCGGGGGAACTAAATAAATCGCAACGGGATAGGGACCTCGCAGCGGAAAACTAAGCGGTCGCAATACGGGGGGCGGCTCGGCACGTCTATCTCTCCCCAGGCCACCAGTTGCGCCCGAACACGCTCATCCAGTGGTCCCAGAAGTTCGTGCGTTCCCCGTGCGTCCGCTGGTACCTCGCGCGAGTGATGTGGGGCCACAGGGGGAGACGGCGAGCAATGCCCGCAGGGGAAGGGCACCACGGTGATGCAGACGCCTGTGGACTTTTCCCTGATGAGCGCTTTCATATTCGGCGTTTCGATATTGTGCGGAAAGGGTGGGAGGGGGGGGGGTTCTGGCTCTGGACCTCTGCTTAATGCCACTGTTTGCAACAGTGCGTCGGATGGGGGAGACTCCACTTGCTCGGAACAGGCACCATAAATAGCCAAGATCTTCTCCACGGGGGCCGGAGAGGGGGGGTGCAAGGGCCCGCGCCGATCGGCAAACCAGTGAATAAGAACACGATCACCTAGTATGCGCGCACACTCTTGTTCCTTCGCCGCCCACGTTGCAACAACAGCCAGCCGCACTCTTGCGGGATCCACTAAGTTCAATTGCTGCCGTGCGTATCACTACATACATGCACACGCGCGCACGCGCGCGCACGCACGCACGCACGCACGCACGCACGCACGCACACACACACACACAAAACAAACACAACACGCGTGCACACACGAACAAACACACACACACACACACACAAGCACACAAGCACACAAACACACAAACACACGCACACACACACACACACACACACCACACGCGCGCACACGCACGCACGCACGCACGCACGCACACACGCAAACAAGCACACGCACACGCACATGCACACACACACACACACACACGCACGTACTTTCCAGGAGACGCGGAGGCGGTGCCCGAGCCGAAAGCCGAGGCTATGTTGAACCTATGAGGCCTAAGTTCGGAAAAACGATCGCAATGACAAGGGTCATGAGGCAATCCACACACACACATTTCCAATATTGGCAAAAAGGATGCGGGTGTTACTCCGACCAGAACCAATGGCGAAAGTACCGAGCGAAGCGAAACCAATACGGCTAAGTATGACGAGGAGGGTGCAGGGAGGAGACGGAAGGTGCAGAAGGCGCACAAGAAGAGCAACAATTACGCAGGACGGAGGAACACGGAGGAGGTGACAAGTCGGGGGGCTCGTGGATCGCCTGCTAATTTGAAGTATCCCCATTGTCCTCCTCATGCTTCTCGCTCCTCCTCGTCTTCCTCGAAGCTCGAGGCTGCGGACTGCCTCCCGAGATCTCCACGGGGTCCCCTGGAGACCTCCGAAAGCCTCTGGATGCCAACACAAGTCTAACT